TTCCTCTCACGGTATTGATTTTCTGTTTTCTAAACTTTATCGAGCAGCAAAATAAGATCCGTAGAAGCTGCTGCCCTGCTTGTGTCTCAAACACTGTTATCAACCTGCCAGTCTGCCTGAAACATGGCTAGCCTGCTGCCTACTGTGTTCACACTGACTACAAAACACCATTATTACTCTGAGCCAGGACGCCTGGGTCGGCGTTACTATGACAACTGATGGTATATGATGTGAGGAAGTGTCAAACACAAAGATCAGAGACGTTGGGAGACCGCGAGCCCCCCGAACGCAGGGAGAACGCAGCTTTAACCGACCGGCAGCAGGAGCATAAGTGATACATTAGATCGAGTGTCAGCTCTGAATGAGCGCTGATACATGATCCGTGTTCGCTGTAACTCCTGTACCAGGAAAAGTCTGCAGGTTTGACTCCAGACAAACACTTGACGCAGCTCGTTTCACTCGTTAAAAAACACTTTAAACTGCTGCTCAAGTGCACTGGAAAAAAAATACATTGTAAAAAAACAGCAGCGGGGCCACAAAATAAATACAGTAAAATAACAGAAAATATCTGACTCGTAAAAATACAGTAATCTTCTATAATTAAAATACAGTTTGTTTTTGGCTTTAATTTTACATAAAAACTTGTGTAATTAAAGATATTTACACTTTAAAACCAATTAAATAAGCTATAAATACAGGATAACACTGCTATGATACAAATAATCAGGCTTAAATTTACAGAAGAGTGCTGTTATTATTGGATTGTTATTATTTTAATATGTAACTGTAATAAAATTCATTATCTGTGAAATTACAGTAATTATTGCTGTTTTCACTGATAAAAACTGTATGTTGACGGTTTACCAATGCTTATACACCGATAAACAACATTTACTCAACGTTTTTGTTGTGAAAATTAACAAACAAATCCAGGAAAATCTGTCAAATAAACAAGAAAAATCCTGTAAACTTCCATTTTTTTTTTTTATAGTGTGAATCAAAAAGTGTTTAGCTGTATGCCCAAACACTATTACTCGGTTAGATTCAGGGAAACATCTTAGTCTACTCGGTTAAAACCGCACTGACCTATGCCCTGTATCTACAACACTGACCTACGCCCTGTATCTACAGCCCTGACTTATTTTATTTTTTATTTACTTTACCTTTATTTAACCAGATTGTCAATTGAGAACCGATTCTCTTTACAATGACGACCTGGCCAAGAGGCAGCAGCAAGACGCAACAAGTAAACCATACATACAGCTAATGGAGCTACAACCCCCTTCCACAATAACAATGCATCACATTTAATACGTTATTATAGAAATACGGAATATGGAAACCACACTGTTAACGTCAGGGAACCTTCGTAGGATCTCCAGCACTAATGTCCGACCTGTCCATTCACTCATCAGCCCTCTGCACGCTCTCTGGCTTCAATAATAACGTCGGTTTGCTGCAATGACTGATGCTTTTTCTGGGTTTCTGGGACAGTGTGGGATATTCGCGTTCCTCAGAAGATGATTCCTCGTGATTTTACTGAACCGTCCCCCTCCTCCCCTGTAGAATCAGAGCAAACATCTAAAATCGAGTGTCCCCGTTGACCTTGAGAGCAGCTGGAGCAGTAGGGTCTCTTTAAGATAAACTGCTCCGTGGACAGCGGCCAAAGAGTGATTCACAGACTCCAACGAGCCAGATATACTGTATTAAATCCTACCTGTGCCAGAACAGAGAGACAGAGGGATATTTCACAAAGCGGCAGTTATTTTGACTAATAGCCGTTTCACAAAGCCAGATTGGACGGACTCCATTTAAAGTGAGTGTGTGTGCAGCTTCCAGCCAAACAACTGACATTAGGAATCACACATCAATCTAACTTGTGCGCTTTGAAGAGCCGTCCACTGAAACAAATCCCAACACCCGGTCATCATGTAATCACATGTTTCTGCCTTGTTTCCGCTTTGTTCTACATCAAAAGGCTCGTAGCTGTCAGGGAGCCCAGAGAGTTGTTAAAAAACAAACTATTTCTGAATTATTTCTAGTGGTGAAACAAGAACTCAGATCCTTTAATTAAGTGAAAGCAGAAATGCCACAGTGTAAAATAGACTTTATTATCAGTAAAAGTCGTGATATTATCAGAAAGAAATGTGTATAAAGTATAAAAAGGATGTATTACAGGGATTACAATCAAGGTTGCAGCATCGGATGGACTCAAACAAGTCGGAAACAGAAACAAGAGAGCTGTTTGCTTCCTCGTATTTACATATTTCCTGTATAAACAGGCAGCTACAGAGGGGCTTGCGGTACTCAATAGCGATGAATGTTACGCCCCCCCAGTCCAGCAGCTGTAGTGGATCAGTAGCTGACTCTGTTGGACTGGGAGCTCCCAGTGAACAGCAGGTCCAGACATTCGGAGGCTGCTGAGCTGCAGACGTCTCACGTTTAACCTCCAAACAGTCGATTTTATTCTCACTAGAACGAGTTCACTTAGATTTTTTAATTAAATATAAAAAAAAAGACGCAACTATTTATTTTCTGCTGCAATTTCAATGCCTACAAACATCGCAACATGCGTCACAATTTTCTGGTGATCCAAGAATAGCTTATTTATAGTATTTACCTCACGCACAAATCGTACATGAATCGTAGCCTAAGTTTACGTATAATCCATGATGAAGATGTACAACACTAGGGGGCGCCAAAGCTTGATACGGAGTCGCGAGGCTTTCTTGGTTTTAAGGCGTGCTAGAAAACCTAAAAAATACACACAGTGGATCTAAAACTCAACAGTTGGTTCACTTTTGTTAAGAATAGTAAATGTGAAGTGTCTAATAGAACAATGACCAAGTGTCAGGGAGAAAAAAACACTGAATTTATCAGAAAAGAAGCTTTTAAAAATAATAAGAAATACATCAAACAGACAGAATTGTATAAAAAAGTTCCCTAAATAGGAAATTATCTGCTCAAAATTCATAAAAATCACTTATTTTACACAAACTTCCTCCAGTTACAGGAATATAATATGAAATATCCATTAAAATGACAATATTTTTGCAATTTCTACTCTTTCCCACAGTGTCATTGCTTAAAAAAGCCTAAAAACATCCCAATTTTCTATAAAAGCTGCTGTGAAATCAGATATTTTAGGCCAGAAATGTCACAAATCGTGTTTTCAGGGGAGCTCGTGTCTTTATAAAAGCCGTGATATAGTTCCCACACTGAGAGCTGCATGCAGATACACATCTACAATAAATGCACCACATCTATTCTGACGTCTCCATCAGCAGTAAATCGTGTGTGTGCAGTGAGTGGGGGGCGGCAGGGGGGGCGGGGGTGCTCAATGACCTTATATCCACCAGCCAATCAGAGCTCAACATCGTGACAAAAGACAGCGAGACTCTGCAGTTACTGATCGGCTCCAACAGGTTTGAGCAAACACCTGACGGCTCTAACTGGCTGCATGTGATCCATCCTGCCACCAACATATGTTCTCCACCCCCCCCCCCAACTGCACTCTAAAAATATAACAATTAAAGAATACGGTAATAAACCTGCAGCTGGAGCGCCAAAAAATACCAGAAATGAATTGATTTGAAGGATTTTCTGTAATTAAAATACAGTTTTTAGCTTTAATTTTACATAAAATCAAATTTTTTGGGGCTTTTTAATGTTTAATTAAAGATATTCACACTGTAAAAACTATAAAATGAGCTATAAATACAGGTGAACTCTGCTATAATACAAATAATCACGCTTACATTTACAGCAGAGGGCTGTTATTATTTGATTTTTCTTATTTTAATCAGATTTTAAAAGTTATAGAACTATAATAAGAGTCATTATCTGTGAAATTACAGTAATTATTGCTGATTTCACTGATAAAAACTGTATTTGGACAGTTTACCAATGCTTATACGCTGATAAACAACATTTATTCAACGTTTCTGTTGTTAAAACTTCAATAATTATACAAAATATCTGTCAATTAACAAACAAATCAATGTAAAATTACAGAATACTGTTAATTGTCACTAACTTTACATTATTTTATAAATGTATTAACAGTATTACACTTGGATTTAAGAGTTTAATCTATTAAATAAACAGTAAATATCTACATTTTTATGATTATTTAGTTTTAGTTTTTCACGTTATTTTACATAAGACGTGTAAATTCACAGAATATTTCAATATATTTTTTAAAAATACACAAAAAATCTGTAAAATAAACGTAAATTAACCTGTAAACGAACAGATTTTTGTTCCTATAAGTCTGTTTTTATGTGTTATCTTTGAGGCCGTACATGCAGCCGCCCCCCCAGTTGCCACTCGCTGCCCTACATGAGTCCTTCCACCCTCTCCTTCTCCCCCAGCACACTTTCTGCACCTATTTTAGATTTAAAACCAGGCCAGGCAGCAGAGCTCAGGGCTCTCATCCTCCTCATCCTCACCCTCCTCATCCTCTTCATCCTCATCTTCCTCACTTTCAGTGCCTGTCACATTAAAAGCACAATAAGGAGAGCACAGCACTTTCTCTCTGTGTGGGTTTTTAAAGTGTAACGATTGAAGCTAATAACGTAACCGGTGGGTTATTTTTAGCCTGCACGAAGATGCGCTCAGCAGTGATGGCGATGGCGTCCTCCCCCCGAAACCCCCCCCCCTCTCTCTCCTCCTACGCCATGATGACGTCGTGCTGTTACGCAAATCCAGGGGTTCACCTTTTGTGGACCTCCAGCACCGCTCAGCTCCCGCTGCGGATCAATAAGAGGAATATGTGCTTCTGCTTTTCTTTAATTCCTCATTCAGTAAAGACACTTCTGTAAAACTTGGACACACCCTGTAATGCATGAAACACCTGCTGCTGGTTCTGGTTCTGGTTCTGGTTCTGGGGGGGGGTTATCTGATGTGGACCGGGTCACACAGGCTCCACACAGAACCACAGCTCACACAGAATAATGAATAAAACAAGCATGCAGTGGACAGAAAGTGGGACACTTAACTATTTGTAGAGGTGCTGGAGACACAGGTCGAGGCATTCCCCTTCCACCTCGTCCTCAGTCACCAGGTCCGACAAGGGGCGCATCGGAACCGGGTCGCTCTCCTGCAGAGGCATTCTCATCTCCCGGAGGAAGAGCTCCAGGAACCGTCGGAAGGTTTTCTCCTCTGCTGCAGAGCCGGCCATCATTTCTCATTCCTGGACAGACAGAGAGACAGACTCCGCCCGTCAGAACCGAGCCGCGCTGAGGGAGGGAAGAGTCACTCACACTAGAACCTGGACGACTTTCTGGACTGTCGGTGTCTGAGCCGGACTACCTGAATGAGTGTGGAGCACCGGAGGAGGAGGAGGAGGAGGAGGAGCCGTTGAGTGCCGGTGTGTGTCTGAGAGCGGCGGACCGGACCGGACCGGACTGGAGAGGAGAGGAGAGGAGCCTGGAGTGGGGGGGTGGACCGACCGCGTCTACGTCTCCGGTTGTACTAGAAGCTGGACTGAGACCCCCATTCAGAGCCGAGCGGGAGCGCGCGCCGCGTTATCAGGGATTTCGGATGATCAGAGGGCGGTGACGTCAGAGAGGACGGTGTTGGGGGGGGGGTGAGCGCGCACGCAGTGGTGACGTACGAGAGCTTTTTGTGGACATGAAGGTTGAAATGTTTTTATAGAGAGGCTCTGTAAGTTATTATAATGAGAAAGTTTCCAGAAAGGATCAAAAGTAATGATTTAATATCTCAAAGTTTCAGTTTAAGTCTTTATAATTACTTATAATTACTCTTTAATACTGTTAATTACATCATAAAGTACATTTAAGAATAAAAACTTTATCTGAAATGTTCATAAATGTAAAAAAAACTGTAAATACAAACAGTTGAAGGTTGTAATAATAATAATAATAATAATAATAATAATAATAATAATAATAATAATGTATGTTATTTACAGAGCGCTCTTCAAGGTACTGAGACACTTTAGTTATAATACATAAGACACATAATACATGTAACTAACTGTGCTTTGGTAACTTTAACCATAAAATCAACAGTACTAATATTCTTTTACCGTAAATGTTCGACCCTGTTTATTACGGTAAAGTTGCCACAGCTGCCAGTTTATTAACATAAAATAACATTTATGGGATCGTGTGACCTCTCAGAGGCTTTTATCTGCAGCATTGAACGTCTTTAATAAAGTATTAAAGACTATAAACGTCTCATCAGATGAACACAAACACGGTGGACGTTAATAGAGCGTAAATATCTGAATGTTTCTTTTCTTTCTCCTCCCAACAAATTCTTTGGTTTTCTGTTGAGTTTCACTTTTAATGGAGAATCTTTGGGTTTTAAACTGTAAACATAAAAGAACATTTGAAGTTGACTCCAACTCTTCTGACATTTTATACACAATTAATTAAAGTCAACTGAAACAAACAGATTCATTCATAAAGAAGTTTGAAGCCTGAATGGGTATAATTTTAGGGTTTTTAGGATATGTACTGAAAATAAACAGTCCTTCTAGAAACAAATATTCTTAAATATAAGAAAATATTATTTTATTGAGCAAAACATAATCAGACATAAAAATCCCTGAAAGACTGAAATAGACTGAAGTTGTTCTTAGTACAAGCAATGAAAACTCAGTTATTTAAAATAGACTCTAAATTGATCTAAATTTAATAATTTGTGATGTAATCTAACTAATAATTATCCAAAGAAATAATAATAATCTTACAATAAGACACAATTTCTTCAAACAGCAGAATTAAAATCAGTGACTTTGTGTTAAATTCAGGCTCCAGAAATATTTTTATCCATTTTTATTAAAACAATAAAAACTAAACAGCTGCTTCATTTCCAACACTGCGACCAGACGACTTTCTCTTAAACTGAGGAGTTGTTCCAGTGCTCTTATTCTGAAAATAATGACAATAATCTGGAATAATATAATGCAACCGCTGTTGTTACTGGTTCAATCGAGCTCAATATTATCTGTAAGATCTTATCAAGACAAAGTTAGATGTCTTAAAACCAGATAATCTTTCAAATGCAAAACCATCAAGATTATTTTTCTTTTTAGACAAAAAATAAGTTAAATTCCCAGAAACAAGTTTTTTTTTGTGTGTATATATATAAACTGTATTTGTAGTGAAGATTTAAGAAAAGAAAATATAGAAGTTTATTTGTGATGCTGCAGTTTCAGTAAAAGTGAGATAAATATAAACACAACCACACAGACACATATTATTATTATTATTATTTAACCTTTTAATAACAGTCTGTCTGTTATTAGATCCTGTTCCAGGAGCTTTTGGAGTTTGTTTATGAACAATATGACAACAGTAATTAATACATTAAATTAATAATATATTGATTTATTATTTAATTGTTCTGCATTTAATAATTTTGTTAATAATATAAATTCTAAACACTGTAAAACCGGATGAGATCAACTCAATTTAAGCATGAGGAAATATTTGATTGGAGTAGAAATAATTAAATTTACCTTAATTATAAATATTTAAGTTTATTTAATACTCGTGTTTCTTTAAATATTAATTGTAACAGTAAAATTACAAAATGCAGAAAAATAAAAAAAACACAAAATAAATAAAATACCTATTAAAATAAAGTTTTTACTGAAGTAAATAATCTTAACACCTCTAACCAACAGCGGAACTCTGAAGAGAATGTTGTTTCTACACGGACATTTTAGTTGACGAACCCGGAAATAGGTGCGTCGTTGTTTTTCTTCCTCCCCGTTTCTATTTAATGTTGTATTTTCTATTTCTGTTTTATCTGGATCAATAAAGTCTATAATAATATATATTAATATATATAATATATATTAATTTATATTAATTTTATTATTTTATTATTATTATGTTTGTTTGTTTGTTTGTTTGTTTGTATTTATTTGAGTTCTTTATATTGTTCAGTTTGTTTCTTTTACTCAGGTTTTTTTTCTTTATTGCAAAATTTAACTTTAATTTAATTTAATTTGACGTTAATTTAAATATTAAATCTTCCAAGAACTGTCAAATTAAACAAATATAATCCAGATTAAAATATAATTATTAAAAGAAAACATAATAATAATAAAACATAATAAAAGAATTATAATAAAATAAACATAATAAAATAAAATATAATAAAATAAAATATAATAAAATAAAACAAATAATAATAATAATGTTAAATAAAATAAATATAATAAAATAAAATATAATAAAATAAATATAATAAAATAAACATAATAAAATAAAACAAATAATAATAATAATGTTAAATCAAATAAATATAATAAAATAAAATATAATAAAATATAATAAAATAAAACATAATAAAATATAATAAAATATAATACAATAAAATAAAACATAATAAAATAAAATAAAATATAATATAATAAAATATAATAAAATCAAACACATAATAAAATAAAAATATAATAAAATAAAATATAATAATAATAAAACATAATAAAATATAATAAAATAAAATATAATATAATAAAATATAATAAAATCAAACACATAATAAAATAAAACAAATAATAATAATAATGTTAAATAAAATAAATATAATAAAATAAAATATAATAAAATATAATCAAATAAAACATAATAAAATATAATAAAATATAATAAAATAAAATATAATAAAATAAAATATAATAAAATAAATATAATAAAATAAACATAATAAAATAAAACAAATAATAATAATAATGTTAAATAAAATAAATATAATAAAATAAAATATAATAAAAATATAATAAAATAAAACATAATAAAATATAATAAAACAAAATAAAATAAAATAAAACATAATAAAATATAATAAAATAAAATATAATATAATAAAATATAATAAAATAAAATATAATAATAATAAAACATAATAAAATATAATAAAATAAAATATAATAATAATAAAACATAATAAAATATAATAAAATAAAATATAATATAATAAAATATAATAAAATAAAATATAATAATAATAAAACATAATAAAATATAATAAAATAAAATATAATATAATAAAATATAATAAAATAAAATATAATAATAATAAAACATAATAAAATATAATAAAATAAAATATAATAAAATATAATAAAATAAAATATAATAAAATAAAACATAATAAAATATAATAAAATATAATAAAATAAAACATAATAAAATAAAATATAATAATAATAAAACATAATAAAATATAATAAAATATAATAAAATAAAATATAATAAAATAAAACATAATAAAATAAATAAAAATAATAAAATAAACATAATAAAATAAAACAAATAATAATAATAATGTTAAATAAAATAAATATAATAAAATAAAACATAATAAAATATAATAAAATATAATAAAATAAAATATAATAAAATAAAACAAATAATAATAATGTTAAATAAAATAAATATAATAAAATAAAACATAATAAAATATAATAAAATAAAATATAATAAAATAAAACATAATAAAATAAAATATAATAATAATAAAACATAATAAAATATAATAAAATAAAATAAAATATAATATAATAAAATATAATAAAATCAAACACATAATAAAATAAAATAAAAATATAAAACTTCCACCTGTGGATGAACCAGAAATGTTGAACATCGGACATTTTAAGTTGACGCACCCGGGCATAAACCCCCGGAAGTAGGTGCGTCGTTGTTTTCCTTCCCCGGAGAGTTCACCATGAAGGAATCGAACCTGTGTCTCCCGGTGAGCGTCGCGGCTCTGCTCCAGGCGGCCCTGCAGGAGGACGCCGCCGCCGCCCGGGACGACGGCCTGTGTGTGGTCGGTATCTTCGGTAAGAGCTGCCTCCAGTCCGGCCCCCCCAAAGAGTCCCTCACCAACTCCCTGACGGACAAACACATCTTCTCCCTGTTCGGGTCCACGGAGGCCGGGTCCACGGAGGCCGGGTCCACGGAGGCCGGGTCCGCAGACAGCCACATCCAGGCGCTGTACAGCCAGGAGAACCGGGTCCTGTACCTGCTGCTGTCCTCCGTGGCCGACAGCCGGCAGCTGCTGCGGGCCTGCCGCTCCCTGAGCGCCGCGGACGGACACTCGGACGCGCACGACTTCTGGAAGAACCTGGACCGACAGCACTGCCTGCACCTGCTCTACCTGTTCTCCGTGTGCCACGTGCTCCTGCTCGTGCACCCGAACCACACCTTCGATGTGGCCTACGACCGGTTGTTCCGAGCCCTGGACGCCCTGAGGCAGAAGGTGCTGCCTCTGATCCGGGCCGCCATCAAAGACTGTCCGGTGTCCAAAGAGTGGAAGGTGAACTGTCGACCCTGCCCCCCCAGACTGCTCTTCGTCTTCCAGATGAACGGATCTATGAAGGTCTCTACAATAAAGTGGATTATAATAAGTCTGTGTATGGAAACCAGGGTCCGTTTGAAAAGCTCTTGATTTTAGGAAGCAGGTGTGGTTGCCCCCCTGAGCGTGTTAATGTTAAAGAACCAGGTTTTAAAATGGAGTTTGGTTTGCAGAGATGTTCTAGTTTATTTAGATTTAAAGGAGTAAAACTGTTATACTGCTCTCGGGTTAAAGAAGCAGATGGGATTGTCCATAAGTATGTTGGTGTTAAAGCGCCTGGTTTTTAAATGGGGTTTGGTCTGCAGAGGTGTTCCTGTAGTTTCTGTACATTTTGTGTTTATATCAGGTTTTTTTTTATTATTTCTATTTAATTCCACCGGTGTCACATAAATCCGCATTAACCTTTGATGCTATATACGTTTTAGGAGTGTATTTATAGATTTAATATGGTTCCTACAGGGTGATTATTTGACTCTAGACGGATGTTCTGGTCCAGTTTGCAGCTCATACAGAGCGAATTCAACCTCTTCTTTTGTTTGTTGTTGTAAAGATTTCTGGGAACGGTTCCGACTCCGGAGGAAACCCCGACAAACCCAAGAAGCACTCCCCCAGGAGGAGGCTGCAGCACGCCCTGGAGGACCAGATCTATCGGATCTTCCGTAAGAGCCGCGTCCTCACCAACCAGAGCAGCAACTGCTTGTTCACCGTGCCCGCCAACCAGGCGTTCGTGTACGTGATCCCGACGATGGAGGAGGACCCCGTGGGCGCCTTGCTGGGTCAGCTGCGGTCCAACTGCGTCCTCTGCGAGCAGGACACCACCGTGCCGGTGTCGGGGCCGAGGCGTTACCAGCAGATGAGACGTTCGGCTCGGCAGTCCGGCTTCGACTGCGGCGGCCTGTCGATGGGCGGTCAGCTGGTGGACTGCAGCCTGAAGGAGTTCCTCTGGCAGCACGTAGAACTGGTCCTGACCAAGAAGGGCTTCGACGACAGCGTCGGACGCAACCCGCAGCCGTCGCACTTTGAGCTGCCGACCTACTCCAAGTGGGTCCAGGTCGCCGCCAGACTCCACCAAGTCCTAATTACCAACACGGAGGAGGAAACCGCTGAGCTGGCCACCAAAGTGCAAGGCCAGCTGAAGGTTTTGGAGGGTTTTCTCGATGCGGACACAAAGTTCTCAGAGAACCGGTGCCAGAAAGCTCTGCCGCTGGCTCACAGCGCGTACCAGTCCAACCTTCCCCACAACTACACCACCACGGTGCACAAGAACCAGCTGGCTCAGGCTCTGCGCGTGTACAGCCAGCACGCCCGGGGGGTGGCGTTCCAGCGCTACGCTCTGCAGCTGCACGAGGACTGCTACAAGTTCTGGAGCAACGGGCACCAGCTGTGTGAGGAGAGGAGCCTCACTGACCAACACTGTGTGCACAAGTTCCACCTGCTGCCTCAACCAGGTGAGCACTTCCTGCTTTCTCTTCTTCCGCTGCGCCGCATCAGCACCTCAGACCTTCCTCTTCTGACCTTCCTCCTCTGACCTTCCTCTTCAGACCTTCCTCCTCTGACCTTCCTCCTCTGACCTTCCTCTTCTGACCTTCCTCTTCTGACCTTCCTCTTCAGACCTTCCTCCTCTGACCTTCCTCCTCTGACCTTCCTCTTCAGACCTTCCTCCTCTGACCTTCCTCTTCAGACCTTCCTCCTCTGACCTTCCTCTTCAGACCTTCCTCCTCTGACCTTCCTCTTCAGACCTTCCTCTTCAGACCTTCCTCCTCTGACCTTCCTCCTCTGACCTTCCTCCTCAGACCTTCCTCCTCTGACCTTCCTCCTCAGACCTTCCTCCTCTGACCTTCCTCCTCTGACCTTCCTCTTCAGACCTTCCTCCTCTGACCTTCCTCTTCAGACCTTCCTCCTCTGACCTTCCTCTTCAGACCTTCCTCCTCTGACCTTCCTCTTCAGACCTTCCTCTTCAGACCTTCCTCCTCTGACCTTCCTCCTCTGACCTTCCTCTTCAGACCTTCCTCCTCTGACCTTCCTCTTCAGACCTTCCTCCTCTGACCTTCCTCCTCAGACCTTCTCCTCTGACCTTCCTCTTCAGACCTTCCTCCTCTGACCTTCCTCTTCAGACCTTCCTCCTCTGACCTTCCTCTTCAGACCTTCCTCTTCTGACCTTCCTCTTCAGACCTTCCTCCTCTGACCTTCCTCCTCTGACCTTCCTCTTCAGACCTTCCTCCTCTGACCCTCCTCTTCAGACCTTCCTCCTCTGACCTTCCTCTTCAGACCTTCCTCTTCAGACCTTCCTCCTCTGACCTTCCTCCTCTGACCTTCCTCTTCAGACCTTCCTCCTCTGACCTTCCTCTTCAGACCTTCCTCCTCTGACCTTCCTCCTCAGACCTTCCTCCTCTGACCTTCCTCTTCAGACCTTCCTCCTCTGACCTTCCTCTTCAGACCTTCCTCCTCTGACCTTCCTCTTCTGACCTTCCTCTTCTGACCTTCCTCTTCAGACCTTCCTCCTCTGACCTTCCTCCTCTGACCTTCCTCTTCAGACCTTCCTCCTCTGACCTTCCTCTTCAGACCTTCCTCCTCTGACCCTCCTCTTCAGACCTTCCTCCTCTGACCTTCCTCTTCAGACCTTCCTCTTCAGACCTTCCTCCTCTGACCTTCCTCCTCTGACCTTCCTCTTCAGACCTTCCTCCTCTGACCTTCCTCTTCAGACCTTCTCCTCTGACCTTCCTCCTCTGACCTTCCTCTTCAGACCTTCCTCCTCTGACCTTCCTCTTCAGACCTTCCTCCTCTGACCCTCCTCTTCAGACCTTCCTCCTCTGACCTTCCTCTTCAGACCTTCCTCTTCAGACCTTCCTCCTCTGACCTTCCTCCTCTGACCCTCCTCTTCAGACCTTCCTCCTCTGACCTTCCTCTTCAGACCTTCCTCCTCTGACCTTCCTCCTCAGACCTTCCTCCTCTGACCTTCCTCTTCAGACCTTCCTCCTCTGACCTTCCTCTTCAGACCTTCCTCCTCTGACCTTCCTCTTCAGACCTTCCTCCTCTGACCTTCCTCCTCTGACCTTCCTCTTCAGACCTTCCTCCTCTGACCTTCCTCCTCTGACCTTCCTCCTCTGACCTTCCTCTTCAGACCTTCCTCCTCTGACCTTCCTCTTCAGACCTTCCTCCTCTGACCCTCCTCTTCAGACCTTCCTCCTCTGACCTTCCTCTTCAGACCTTCCTCTTCAGACCTTCCTCCTCTGACCTTCCTCTTCAGACCTTCCTCCTCTCATACTTACAAGAAGCAGAACTGTATATAAATGATTTTAAAAAGGAGTTCAGATGAAACCAGTAACAATCTGACCTCATTCCTGCAGGAGAGAAGCCGGACGTGGACCGCAACCCGCCCGTCCTGAACCACAACAGCAGGGGGCGCTCCACCAGCTCCTGTAACTGCGGCAGGAAACAGGCTCCTCGTGAGGATCCGTTTGACATCCAGGCTGCCAATTATGAATTCTTCCAGGTCAGGACTCTTTTATATAGTGATCTGTTGAGCACAAGTTGATCGAGGTTTTCTCGACTGTTATTGGAGCACAGAGCATAAAGGGGGCGGGGCTTAGGAAGGATCAATCTTCTGAGTGTTTCCATGTTTCTTCTTCCTGAACAGATGCTGGAGGAGAAATGCTGCGGGAAGCTGGAGAGGATCGACTTTCCGGTGTTCCAGCCCAGCACTCCCGACCCGGCGCCGGCCTCCAACCAAGCTCAGCGGCTCCCATCTGAGGCGTCGGGGTCTGGTGAGGCCGAGAGGCTGAAGGAGCCGAGCACCGCCCAGAGCCACACGCCCGGAGACACCAGCCTCAGCCTGGCTCTCAGTCTGGGCCAGTCCACGGACAGCCTGGGGCCCTACGCGGACGGAGACGGAACCGAAACCCAAGTCCAGCAAAAGAGACCGAGCCTCGTAGACCGCCAGCCCTCCACTGTGGAGTACCTCCCGGGTATGATGCACTCCGGCTGCCCCAAGGGCCTCTTGCCAAAGTTCTCCAGCTGGTCTCTGGTCAAACTGGGCCCGGCCAAGTCGTACAACTGCCACACCGGCCTGGAACAGCCGGGCTTCCTACCCGGCTCCTCCTTCCTCCTGCCGTGGGACTTGGTGATCCGCTCCCGGTCGGAGGAGGACGCGGGGCTGACGGAGCCGCTGGACGGAGGCACCTCCTCGTGGCCAGCGCCCAACAAGAACCTGGTGGGGAAGCGAGGGAGCACCGGAGGGCTCGGTAGGAGCCGCAGGAGGGACGACATGGCTCGGGTCTTTGTAGGGTTTGAGTATGAAGACAGCAGAGGAAGACGCTTCATCAGCTGCGGGCCGGATAAGATAGTGAAGGTTCTGGGGCCAGGCGGCGCCAAAGACTCCGCCACCCGGGTGCTGAACACCGACATGCCGCTGTACATCCCCTCCCCCTCGCAGGGCCGCAGCCTGAAGCCTCACTTCGCCCAGCTGGCTCGCCTTTACGTCGTGGTGCCTGACGCCCCGCTGGAGGTCACCCTCAACCCACAGGTAGTCTCACACTACAAGATCTCTCACAGCCCGTCTGCTGCTCTCCAGACAGTCAGCTGTCATTAATAACAAGAACATCATGTTTAATTAGGAAAGTAGATTAAAAACACACACAGAGGGGCAACAATTTACGGCACACTGCGGTTAGAAACTGAGTGAAATAAGCTGATAATTAACCAGCGTCTGTAATCAATACTCACATTATTAAATCATTAATCAAACTAATAACTAACATCAGTCAACGTCAGACAACCTGATCAGCCTTCAGCAGTTAGCTAGTGTTTCTGTAGTGGAGACTAAACGTTAACAATGATCCATATCAGCAGTTTGAATCCAACTAAAAGCTCCCTGCACCAAACTCCCTTTAAGAAATATCACATTTTAACAATTCCTAACGTGTTCGTAACAACATGTAACTCTAGAAACACGAGCTAAAGGCCGTCATATGTCCACAGTCTGACTGTCAATACAGGATCAATATCATCCATGATACAGTGTATACTGATCAATATCATCAAGACAGACAAGAGTGAGGTGGGGACACGTTTATTGTGGTAACAAAAACAAGCGTACCCAACAACACGGTGCAGCAAGAAGAGAAAATACTGTTAGAGTGCGCCGAGCAAAGGACAAAATTCACAGTTTCTTATGAATAGTTGATCAATGGACCTTTTTATAGATAAAATAAATATAAATAAATAATTCTCTCTTGTTTACAGGTAAATCTAACCGATCTAACAACGTGTAGCTCGTCCATATTGATAAAGGTTTAAACAACTTCTATAAACTCCACACAGGGATTGTAAAGGACACCTGTGTATACTTTGTGTCTCCTGTTAGTGAAACCTTTTCCAAACGGTCCTCGGACTGACGGACACGTCGGCTCCGCTCTCCGGAGTGAAGCACATTTGTTTGTTGGAGCCGGAGACGTTGTTGTTGGATGAGTTTCTGTAGAAATCATCACATTTTCTGGAAGCTCACTTTGTTTACCGCCATCCAAGAAACAAAGAAGAAGTGGCACATTTCAGATTTTAGGTGTTAAAGTAGCTCCGTTTATCATTTATGTAACAAATTAATGTTAACTGCCACTAATGAGTGTGTTACAGTAAATACAGACTTCATGAAGGGCTGCACAGTTAATCAAAGTACGACTGAAGAGTAATATCCAAATCAAAGAAGCTAAAATAGTTTAATGAAGGTACAATGTGAGTTATAATGAAGTACTGACATATAAATCCTGTTCTCCAGGTGTAAGAAAACATTGTTTAGTTGGTGCAGAGCCTCAAAAATGTCCCATAATCACAATTTTCAAGAAAAATGAAAATTATTTGTCAAAATAATCGTAACTATAGTCTTATTTCTTAATACAACAGACAATATAATGCTAATATATAGCAGCAGATATAGTTCTGCCATTCAGGATTGAATATAAATATTATATTTACGTAATAAAATGAGATACAAGTTGTATCCATAGTACAAAACTGGCAATTTAATCCAGTATATTAGTGTATGTACAGTAGATCCAGAATATATTTTCATCAGATAAATACAAAAATAGTAAATACTACAGTAATAATACATATCAGCAGATGTTAATAGGTGATGGTGAAGGAGGTTAGGGGAGTGTGGTTTTATTAAAATATATCAAACTGTGTTTTTTAAGACCAAATAAACTAATAAAAACAGAAATATATTTAGTTTTAATAGGGAGGAATGTATTTTTTAATAAAAATGTCACATTAGAGGGTCTCTGGGAAGTCTAAAAAATCCCCAACATATTCATTTTAAATATGATTTTAACAGGTTTAAATGTGCTTTTAAATGTTTTTTGGGGGGAAATATTTGTACTGATGATGTTGTAACGACAAAAGAAAACCAACCTGAAACCAACACTGATTTTAACTTTAATATTCTTCCTCAGCATGGACGTAAAATAGGTCTTAAAACCGGTTTAAATTCCCTCTGTTGAGAGCCGCATTAACCCTCACACTGCTGTTCTTCCTGCTGTGTTCCAGGTGCAGCCCGGTCTTCCTCCCTGCCCGGTCTTCCACCCGGAGAAGACCGATTTAGTGTTGCCGGCTGACGGCCTTTGGGTGCTGCGGTTCCCGTATTCCTACGCCACGGACCGCGGCCCCTGCTACCCCCCCAAAGAGAACCAACCGCTCAACAACTACAAGGTCCTGCGAGGCATCTTGAAGGCCACCACCGCCAACCCCCCGCCGCAGTGAACAGTGCGAAGGACTTCCTGGACCCTTATTCTCTTATTTATTTACATTTTGTTTTGTCAGTCGAACCCAAAACCTTTCAGACCGGCCCCCGACCGACACTTTGCTCCATGATAATGACGTTCAGGGTTCCTGGAATACCTGGAAATTAATTAAAATGACCAAACATCCTGGAAATGAATCACTTTGTTTTGTTGTTGTGGTTGATAATTGTTAATCAGGAACTCTTAAACTACTTTCTGACTTTATTTTAATGACCTGAAGGGTAAGAAGATTAATTTTCTGTAAAATAAAGTTAATTCTATTTGATTTGAGCTGTTAAATGTGCGACCAGAGAACCACGAAAACCCATAAATGACCACCACTGTGAGCCGGAGCTGTCCTGTATTGTCAGAAAAAGGAGAAAAAACTCCTGGAAGGTCCTGGAAAGGTCTTGGAACGGTCCTGGAGAATGATTTCTTAATGAAAGTGGGAACCCTGACATCCTATAACAACCTCCAATCTTTACATTTTTAGCTCTGGAAGTGATACAATCATCCGTTTTGGCTTCAGTTCTAACATTTGTGAGGCTTCATAAGTTCTTATCAGATGGTCCAACAGCTTCACACCCCCCCCCCCACACACACACACACACACACACACACACACACACACACACACACACACACACACACACACACAACTTTCCGATGTCAGTTTCTTTTTCCGAAAACCAACAATCTGACTTTCACGCCCACTCCTCAACGTGATTGGCCAGCTGTGCGGAGGCGAGGGAAGCGAGCAGGATGTGAACTTCTCTTCAACTCTCCAGACAAATATTTCTGTCACTTTTAAACAAACTAGTGCGAAACGCTGAACGTCTGCCAGCAGAGAAACTGATCCAGGAGCACTTTAAATCCCCGTTAGACATTTATATAGACTTTAATAAATGGTTTTTAACACACTGGAATGTATTTGTATGACGATTTCTATTCTGTGTTCATATGATGGAGACAAATAAGGTGATTTATTTACTTCAACAGACGTTAAAACTTCCTCTTTTCTGTTTTCATTTTCAAAACCAACATTTTGATGTTAAGCTTCCTGATTCTTTAACTGCTGACTTTGAGATACAAAGTCATTATTTTGAGCATGTTTTCTCGTTATAATAGTGATAATGAAATTGGTTTATTCCACATGAAAGAAAATCCTCCAGGTGGATGTTTAGACAATGTGAGTTACACTGTTTGTCCACCAGGTGGAGTTGGACTCCTACAAAGAGATTATTGAACTGTTTTATTCCCTATAATAAAGGTTATTGTGTCAGAATTACATTATAGAGTCCAGATTGTTTCCATATCACCTCGGTGCTGGTTTGAAAGGGTTGAATTTAAATGCTTGTGATTTAATTTTAAGGCCTTAAATAATTTTGAATAATGTCTGAGTGGTTTAAACAGCTTCAAACGGCTGAAAAGTAGTTTGAGTTTATATGAAAATAACCATTTTATGAACACATTCATCCTGATGAATCAATATTTCTGATATTGAGCTTTAATTTCACCTACAAGACAACAAAAACGCACCGACACTTTCACTGATTTCACTGCCGTCTGTTGTTGTTTTCTATCTCCAGAGGAAGCGAGGAAACTGATGCATCCAGTCTTTAAAAACTCTACTTCCCATGATGCATCTGTAGCTCCATGTTTATCGATCAGCAGGCTGAAAGCTTCACAGCTGCAAACAGATCAGAGAGTAAAGTTTTATTCTTTCTGTCTTAAAGGAATGAGGAAACACACACACACACACACACACACACACACACACCTGAGGAATGTGGGTAATAACAATGAGGTTAATAACAAAGCTAAGAAGTGATTCAAGGTCATAAAGTTAAACAACCACTGGTCAAGACTTAAAGAAACATGCAACAGTGTAAAAGTTCTTCTAGACTTAAACTGGCACTTCAGCTTCTTTCTGTGCTTCATTGTAACACTTCAATTCATATTAACACTACTTTTAGTAACATTAACTGATGTCAGTTTAACATTTAATCCGACCTTTCGAGGCAACTTCTTCAGTCACTTCAACTCCTTTTATTGCTCACACTTAAACTGACACTTCAGCTTGTTTCAGTGCTTCAATACAACGTTCATACGATTCAGTGTGAGCTGTTTTTATCACGCACACGTCAACAGATTCTTACATTTCATCTTCAGCTCAGTCAACACTTCAACTCCTTTTAATAACTCACACTTCAGCTGACATCATCTTTCAGTCTGTAGGTTATCTGACACTAAACCTCTTCCAGGATTTAACACTTCTGGCTCTTTTTTTTATCACCTACACTTCATTTCAACTCCTTTCAGTGTTTGAACTTCAACTACCTTTAGCATTAACGCCGCGTGTACAATTCCTCCACTATTTGTTTATTTGTTATATTTTTCAGTATTTTGAACAAATCCTTCAACTTCACTCAGCTCTTACGTATTTAAACTAATACATACATCTCATTCAGCAGCTCTCTCTTTACCACCACATCAACTCCTTTCACTCTTTCACTACTGAAACTGTTTCAGCTGCTAATTTTAGCTGCGAGTCCAGATGGAGGAACAGTTCAATCAGACCGCTCTGAGTGTCCCAGAAGCCTCCTCGGTGTCCTTCAGAGGACTGGAAGCAGTAAATCTAGGTGTGTGTGTGTGTGTGTGTAAAGCAACAACAACCATAAAAGGAGCAAAACAAACTTCAAGTGTTCGGTGTTGCTGTTTTCCCACCTGTGGACAGGTAGAGGAGGAGGCGGAGGGATAAAAAGCCAACCCACTCGCAGATCAGCTTTGTGTCTCTCTCTCTTTCTATCCTGAGTACGACTGTGCCAAAGTTCAACGCTCACAAACGGCGGACAATAGGAGAAAGAAGACACTGGACTAGATGTTCTGGAGCAGATTGTGTGCGACCCTGAGACAGGTGAAAGCAAACACCTGAGAGTATTCAGGCAGAGCAGTGCAGTGGGATGTGAGTATAATGTACAGATTTATCAATCAGTGATTAATTAAACTGTTCTCAGGCTCCTGTAATGTTTCACTGCGAAGTTAACGTTCAACTCATGTTAACCCTGAACAGACGTCTGTAACAGCAGTTTACACACTGAATAATACAGATATTTTATTAATTAAATCTGTTGGTTTTGATTATTATTGATCAGAATTTGATGTTGTGTTGAATTCTTCTGCTGTACTTTTGTCCCTTTCAGAGGACGAATATTGATCAACTTTAAAGGAAGTTTTTGCATGTTTTAGCCTAATGGGAATCACATATATACACAGGACTCTACTTAATTTGTATTATATTTAAGATCTTTTACTTTCTCTGTATTTAACACAAAGCAGCCAAAACTAGAGACAGAGTGCAACAACTGATCTAAACTAACTGACTCGTAAGAATACAGTAATTTTTTCTCTAATTAAAATACAGTTTTTAACTTTTTTTTTGTCTTTTTAATGTTTAATTAAAGATATTTACACTGTAAAAACAATGCAATGAGCTATAAATACAGGCGAACACTACTATAAGACAAATAATCAGGCTTAAATTTACAGAAGAGTGCTGTTATTATTTGCTTTTTCTTATTTTAATCAGATTTTTAAAAGTTATAGAACTGTAATAAAAGTAATTATCTGTGAAATAACATTTAAATTACATAAAAAAAACAACTTTAAAACTTTACTGCTCACAGTTTCAGATATAACACTATCAAAGGAGAAACTGTAATATAAGACTTCAACTTGTAATTTAGTACTTTTCCATTGTGGTATTACAACATTTAAGATTCCTCCCTCCATATTTACATAAAGTACAAAAAACATCTTGTAGAAGCTGGAAACTTTATTTATTATCTACGTGTATCATAATTAACATCATATTTGCTTTTATCTTTGAATATCTGTGTTTGTTTTATCTCAAGTTTAATCAGGTTTATACACAATCAACAGAATCTAAAATAGTTACTATTAAAGGAATAGTTCAACATTTTGTGAAATGCTTTCATTTGCGTTCTTGCTGAGAGTTGGATGGAAATACTGACACTCTCATACCTGTACAGTAGATATGAAGCTACAACTAGCCAGTCAGCTTAGCATTAATCCTGCAAACCTTCAAACAGAAAACAAACTGTGAAATTCTGCCCTAAAATTTGACCAATGAGCTGTTTATTCACCCCAAACAGCCGACATACCGACTGACGGTGGTTGGAAACAGATATCTCAAATAAAACCAGAACTATGTGTCACATAAGATATTGATCTATGTTCTTTGGTCTGTTTGTCAGTCCGTCCATCGGCAGCGACCTCAGTTTTTATTGACCCGAAACCAACATGACCACCAGGAGGGCGGAGGTCCAGCGAAGGATCGTGTCCAAGGACGGCCACAACAACGTCCGGATCGACAACGTGGAGGGAATGGTGAAGCTGTACCTGCACGACATCTGGACCACCGTGGTGGACATGAAGTGGCGCTACAAGCTCACTCTGTTCGCCTCCACCTTCGTCATGACCTGGTTCATCTTCGGGGTCATCTTCTACTTCATCGGCATGGGCAACGGAGACTTCGAGGCCGGTCTGAATGCCAGCCACGTTCCCTGCGTGATGCAGGTGGAGACGCTCACCGGCGCCTTCCTGTTCTCCCTCGAGTCGCAGACCACCATCGGCTACGGCTTCCGCTACATCTCCGAGGAGTGTCCTCTGGCTATCTTCACTCTGGTGGCTCAGCTCGTCATCACCGGCCTGGCCGAGATCTTCGTCACCGGGGCCTTCCTCGCCAAGCTGGCTCGGCCCAAGAAACGAGCGGAGACCATCAAGTTCAGCAAGTCGGCGGTGATCTGCCGCCGCCAAGGGAAGCTGTGTCTGATGGTGAGGGTGGCGAACATGAGGAAGAGTCTTCTGATCCAGTGTCAGCTGACGGGGAAGCTCCTCCACTCCAATGTGACGGAGGAAGGCGAGAAGACGCAGGTCCACCAGAGCTCCGTGGACTTCTTTATGGACTCCAGCAGCGAGTGCCCTTTCCTCATCCTCCCGCTCACCTTCTACCACGTTCTGGACGAGCGCAGCCCGCTGGCGGGGCTGAACACCGAGAACCTGCTCACCCGCGACTTCGAGCTGCTGGTCACCCTCAATGCCACCATGGAGTCGACGGCGGCCACGTGCCAGAGCCGCACCTCCTACGTTCCCCAGGAGATCCTCTGGGGCTACGAGTTCAAGCCCGTGCTCTTCAGCACCACCAGCGGGCGCTACGTGGCGGACTTCAACTTTTTTGACAAAGTACAAGTGAGCAACGACGCAGCGTTCCTCAGTAACAACGCAGAGAAACTGAAACTGGAGGAGGACTTTAAGAAAGAGTAGAGGACGCTGGTGTTTCTGATGTTTGATGTAACTGATGTGTTAGTTGGGTCTGGATGTTATATTGTAGAACTAACAGTCAATTTTTGTACAATATTGTATAAAAAGTTATTTTTTTCCCCCTGACAACGTGACTCAGGGGCAGAAAATGCACATTAATTTGGATAAATCTTCAAAATAATGTGTTAAAAACAGAAATTAACACATAGTTCGATGAAAAAATACATTTATTTAAAACAAAGTCTAAATATTTGACCTCTAATTCCTCTGTTAGATATTAATATTCAGTTTCCTAAGGTGCGACAAAAATTATTTTGTGTTCCATGAAATAAATGTTTTGTTTAGATTATTAATTTAATCATCATCATTATTGTTTAATATATACATTTGTATGTTTTAATTTTTGATAACTCTAAATAAAATGTATTAGTTTGGGTTTCAATTAAGAGTTTTAGTCTCCTCAAATGATTTTTAAAATAATAATTAATATATATTTTTTAGATCTCTCATTGTGACAAACCAGCATTTAAAGGAATATTTGACTTTTTGGGAAATACAATTGTTTTGTTATTGGGATGAACAAATAGATTGTAACGGTGTAATAACACGCTGGGTATGGTGGTACAAGGGGATATATGATGTTAAAGGTTAATAAAAATGGATTAGTGTCGTAATTAAATGTTTCTTTATTAACCCTGAATTATTATTTAAACATGATACAAATGTTTTAATGTGTTTTTATTACTTAAAACTGCTTAAATAATGAAAACATGGACTTTTTGTATCATTTAAATTAGTTAAATTAATATAATTTGAATAGTTTTTTGCAATGTATGGTAATAATAATCTGTAATATGCAGATATTTAAATGAAATGTGTTTCTGTATTGAATGCTGGAGGCTCCAGTCTCAGTGTCCCAGTGTAGGAACAATAGAGAACGAACAGAAGGATGAATGAATGAATGAATGAATGAATGAATGAATGAAGCGTTTAAAGGACAGAAACAGGTTGAACCACCGGCTCAGTTGTCGTTAGCTGTCAGCTTTTGTTGTGGCAACAGTGAACGGCGTTTGTATCGGGTCAAAACAATCTTTCAATCCAAAGCACAACTGATCTTTAACTTTAACTTTAACTGACACACGGAGGAACTTTATAAACTAACTGAGCTGGAAAATACGTCACTGTGAACGAGTTCCTTAAACAAAATGACCAACGCCTCCTCGGGCTTCTTTATTTGAGCTACTTTGTAAAAACACTACAAGATTTTAAAGTTTAGCTTTTATTTTTATTTCAGTTAAACTAAAATGTTTAGAGTTTAGAGAAGTGAGATTGTTATTACTTGTTTCTTTATCACTCCCTGCCAACAGTGACTAGTTACAGCAATAGTTATATTTCTTTTTTCAGACTGGTGACAATTAAAATCCGGTTTTGTTTGTTAAAATTAAAGTTATGTAAATATTTACAGCTTTTCCATTTATGCAGCTAGTTTTCTTCACATTTTACATAAATGAATCCAAGGATGTGATCAGACTGTTACATTTTAAAACAGTATAAAGGGAAACAACTAAAGTAATGTTGCTGGGGTAACTGTAATATTATATCAGTAATTAGTTACACTACTAGTTCTATTATTACTAGTAAAGAGTTACTGCCCAACACTCTTGCTTTATTTATTTTAATGCTTTAATTATTATCAGTTTCACAACAATTAAACTAAAATTATTTTAAATGCATCCGGTTGGAATAGTAGGAAATGACGCTTTTACGTTGAAGGACGCACACCGGAAGCTCTTTTACTCTGAAGGATGTGAACCGGATGTCGTGTTGTTGTTGCGGAACAAAAAAAGGAAAACAAACCAGAAGAATAAATTGCGATTAAAAAACAAACTTTATTAGTTTGTTGACCGAAGAATAAACAACCAGGGACAGAAGATGAGCGTTACTTTGGATATTCGACTGAAACGAGCGAACAAAGTTTATCACGAAGGGGTAAGTCCGGTAAACGGTCCGGTAAACGGTCGCCAACGGTCGCTAACGGTCGCCAACGGTCGCCAACGGCCGCCAACGGTCGCTGATATTTCTGTTTTACTGTTTAAATGAGTTAAAACTTTCAGTAAAGTAACGTGTTTTATAAATACAGCCTGCTGGTGTCTTTAGCTTCCTGAGCTAACGTGAGCTAGCAGGCGTTTGCACGTGACCAGCAGCTGATCGATTGAAGTATCGATCAGATATTGACAAGTGAGGCGTTAGCTAGTGATCTAGAGACGGTTATATATCAGTTAGTGCCGTTAAAACTATTAAAGTGTTTGGAAACAGTCATAAAAATACAGTTTATTGACATCTAATGATAATTAATCAATAACAGAAACTAATGATACTATTAAGGTTACTGCTAATACCACAATCTTTTAAGATTTAACTTTATTAATCCCCTTTTTAATCCCATATTGGAGACACTACACTATTACTGCAGCTACAACTACTGCTGCTAATGTTACTACTATAATATAATATAATAATAATAATAATATATATAACTACCAGTATAATGTCCATTACTGCTCCTATTGGTGTTATTACTACTTCAGTTACTACTATAACTATAATAATAATAATAATAATATAATAATATATAACCACCAGTATAATGTCCATTACTGCTCCTATTGGTGTTATTACTACTTCAGTTACTACTATAACTATAATAATAATAATAATAATATAATAATATATAACCACCAGTATAATGTCCATTACTGCTCCTATTGGTATTATTACTACTTCAGTTACTACTATAACTATAATAACAATATAATAATATATATAACTACTATAATAACACAGAGAAACTGAAACTGGAGGAGGACTTTAAGAAAGAGTAGAGGACGCTGGTGTTTCTGATGTTTGATGTAACTGCTGTGTTAGTTGGGTCTGGATGTTATATTGTAGAACTAACAGTCAATTTTTGAACAATATTGTATAAAAAGTTATTTTTTTCCCCGACAACGTGACTCAGGGGCAGAAAATGCACATTAATTTGGATAAATCTTCAAAATAATGTGTTAAAAACAGAAATTAACACATAGTTCTATGAAAAAATACATTTATTTAAAACAATGTCTAAAGATTTGACTTCTAATTCCACTGTTAGATATTAATATTCAGTTTCCTAAAGTGTTTAATATATACATTTTTATGTTTTTAATTTTGTAAAGTAGCATTGGGATTAACAGGGCTGATAACTATAAATAAAATGTATTAGTTTGGGGTCCAATGAAGAGTTTTTGTAGTGTCAAATGATAAAATAATAATTAATATATATTTTGTATCTCTCATTGTGACAAACCAGCATTTAAAGGAATATTTGACTTACTACTATAACTACCAGTATATATGTATATATATATATATATATATATATATACATTTTAACTTTATTTAGTACAAATATCCAGACTTGGAGAGTAACAGGATACAAATAAAGAAAAAAAGAGGTAATCAGATTACAGTTACATTTAATAAAAAAAATGGGATTATAGGAGGATTACAGTTTTCAGTTAATTAGAAATTGTATTGGATTACATTTTTAAAGTAACCCTGGAAATATATCTTAATGGGTCTCAGGATTCAGTGTGACACCGGTACCGACACCGGTGGCGCTGTTTGGTGGTGACGTGGTTTAATACAGCATCAGATCTGACACCAGTTTAATGTGTTAAAATGGTGGAATACTGAATCCTCAGATCTTTGTAGCCGTCAGGAGCTCAGCGCTGTTGTTTTTGTGTACAGGAAGTGGTCGCCGGCGTCATCCTGCTGGTGTGTAAGGAGGCGCTGCAGCACCACGGGATCTCTCTGAGCATGGAGGGCCTGGTCAACCTGCAGCTGAGCTCCAAGAGCGTCGGCGTCTTCGAGGCTTTCTACAACTCTGTCAAGGTGAAGGTTTCGTTGTCTCTTGTTTGACGTGATTGTGGTCTTTCACCTGATCCAACGGTGTTCGCAAAGGGGTCTGGGACACTCAACAATGTCCTATTTACTTCAATTGTTTTAGGTCTTAACATTAAAGACTTGATTTGTGAGGTGAAATAAAATGTTTCTGACATTACCTGAAAGTCTAAGGAATGGTTTTCATAATGGGGAGTGTATAAAATACACAACCAAATGTAAGTTTCTTAAGTTTTTGTTTTATTTCAAATTTTGTTTGCTGTGAGCAAAAAACACAAATTTACAGATTCTGTGAGTGTTAAAGATCCCCTCCAGATGGGTGTTAATACATTTAAGTTCCACATTCAATTCCTTAAAAAGGCAGCTACTTCTTCTACCTCATTAAAGGCCCAAGAATCTATGAATATGCACATTTATTTAATATCTATAAGTCCTGTGTGAACTGGGTTTGCAGAAACAGTGATGGTTTCTGTCGCCATCTAGTGGTTGAGTAGCTTTACTGCAGACAGACTCCTTCACCGTCAACTAGACAAATGTTCTGAAGAAAGTACTCTGGACTAGAGTTTTAATATTTTAGTTTGATTTATTTTCTAGTTTTATTAATGTTTATATTAAAGGGGAACTTCGGCAGATTTTTACCCGAGTCTTGATCACTAGAGGTCACCGAGTACTGTCGATAGGAAAAAGAACGACCAGAATTGGTTCTAGCAAACTGGAGATCCTGCAGCTAATGGCCAGAGCTCCCAGTTAGTTATAATACACTTCTTGGGGGCATATCCTAAAGAGTGCCTTTTGCTCCTCTTAACAGACACAAAATGCATTAAAATGTCTGTGCAACATGTTCAGGGCCCTTACGTGACAACAACATGCCTTTTCAACTCATACGTTGTGCAGAAACCGTACAAACAGTACTGTCACCTACCTGTTTTTCCACTGTTCGCTTCACCGAAAGCCCAGAATAATCGATCACGGAGATAATGCCTTCACGACGAAAATGTCCCCCTCAAAAATGTCAATGTCTTCACACACTACTCTCCGATTTGCACACTTCCTGCAACAATTTCTTCTTCTGCGTTTCCCTGCAACAAGTGAAATCCCACGGGACTTCAGCACGGGACTGCTCTCACCCTGAAGTCCCGTGGGATTTCACTTGTTGCAGGGAAACGCAGAAGAAGAAGAGAGTGGATATCGGAGGTGTTCACAAGTGAAGAAGCTTGGAGTAAGAATAACGTGTGTTGATCTACTGTGGAGAAGAAACAATTTGGAAAGGCACAAACGCGAACCATTTCTTCTCCACAGTAGATCAACACACGTTATTCTTACTCCAAGCTTCTTCACTTGTGAACACCTCCGATCAACAATCTCTTCTTCTTCTGCGTTTCCCTGCAACAAGTGAAATCTTACGGGACTTCAGGGTGAGAGCAGTCACGCGCTGAAGTCCCGTGGGATTTCACTTGTTGCAGGGAAACACAGAAGAAGAAATTGTTGCAGGAAGTGTGCAAATCGGAGAGTAGTGTGTGAAGACATGGACATTTTTGAGGGGGACATTTTCGTCGTGAAGGCATTATCTCCGTGATCGATTATTCTGGGCTTTCGGTGAAGCGAGCGGTGTAAAAACAGGTAGGTGACAGTACGGTTTGTACGGTTTCTGCACAACGTATGAGTTGAAAAGGCATGTTGTTGTCACGTAAGGGCCCTGAGCATGTTGCACACACATTTTAATGCATTTTGTGTCTGTTAAGAGGAGCAAAAGGCACTCTTTAGGATATGCCCCCAAGAAGTGTATTATAACTAACTGGGAGCTCTGGCCGTTAGCTGCAGGATCTCCAGTTTGCTAGAACCAATTCTGGTCGTTCTTTTTCCTATCGACAGTACTCGGTGACCTCTAGTGATCAAGACTAGGGTAAAAATCTGCCGAAGTTCCCCTTTAAGACTCAAATGTGTGGACAATTTAGAGTTTCCAATTAAACTGCATGTCTTTGGAATGTGGGAGGAAACCGGAGACACCCGGGGAAAACCCACGTCAACACGGGGAGAACATGCTAACTCCACACTGAAAGGGCCGAGGCCGCAGAGCGAACCTTCAGCCTTCTTCCTGTGAGGCCACGTGGAGCCACCGTGCTGCCCTCGCTCTTAAAAAGGATGTAAAGGACGTTTTTTAGCTCAAGGTTTGTCAGTCTATCAGTATAGACTGTACTTCCCCAAACCCCGTCTGACACATCCTTCTTAAGAGTTTGTATTCATCTTGAAAAACGCCCACTGAATTCTTTTTCAAGATGAAAATTTTTAGAAACAGGACCGGGGGTAAATGACTGGGCGCTGTATACTTGCGTGTTCTACTTGCCGCAGGAGGTGAACGGCTTCCTCAGGATCTTGGCCACAGAAGAGAACATCCTCAGGATGGCGGGGCGCATCTGTTTCCTCTGCGACGGTGGCGTCGATCCTTTCTCCGAGTTGGACACCGATGGGTTGATTGCACAGACCGGAGTAACTTTGTTTGTCTTTCTTCTGAAAAGTTTCTTCACTTTGGCTACAAAGCTGGTGTTTTTTTCAGAAGAATTGCACAGCTGTTCTTTTATTGTCCGGAGAACGGCTTCGTCAAAAACTGTGTCACCGGATGCCATGGCAGCCTGCAGCAACTTCGGAGATCCGAAGTGGCGACAAAGTTGTTTGTAGACGGCGGTGTGGATGTTGCCAACAGTCTGTGGGAGAATGCATTTTAATTCTCCCACAGTTCTCGCTCTCAGGCGCTCCAATGACCTATCGAAGTCCACTTCCAACACGGACGTGTTGGTGGAGCAAGCGATTTGATCCAGGAGCTTCCCGAGAAGCACAGCGAGAAAGGTCTTATCTTGCTGTGGCAGCTCGTCTGCAGAGCTAGGAGAATGCTGATCACCTGAGAGCACCGATTTCTGCTGCTCTGAAGCAGAGCTGAGTCTTTCGGCACCCTCGATGCTAAACACCTCAACACCTGTTACCTGGTCTGGAGAGCAACCCTTGGGGCCAAACTCCCCAACGTCCGACACGTCATCCGGAGAGCAACCCTTGGGGCCAGACTCTCCAACGTTCGACACGTCATCCGGAGAGCGACCCTCGGTGCCAGTCTCCCCAACGTCCGACACGTCATCCGGAGAGCAACCATTGGGGCCAGACTCCCCAACGTCCGACACGCCATCCGGAGAGCAACCCTTGGGGCCAGACTCCCCAACGTCCGACACGCCATCCGGAGAGCAACCCTTGGGGCCAGACTCTCCAACGTCCGACACGCCATCCGGAGAGCGACCCTCGGGGCCAGACTCCCCAACGTCCGACACGCCATCCGGAGAGCGACCCTCGAGGCCAGACTCCCCAACGTCCGACACGTCATCCGGAGAGCAACCCTCCGGGCCAAACTCCCCAACGTCCGACACGCCATCCGGAGACCAACCATTGGGGCCAGACTCTCCAACGTCCGACACGTCATCCGGAGAGCAACCCTCGGCACCATATTCCCCAACTACGGACACGTCATCCGGAGAGCAACCCTCGGGGCCAAACTCCCCAATGTCCGACACGTCATCCGGAGAGCAACCCTCGGGGCCAAACTCCCCAGCTTCCGACAGGTCATCCGAAGAGCAACCCTCGGGGCCAAACTCCCCAACGTCCGACACGTCATCCGGAGAGAAACCCTCACTGTCCGACTCACCAACATCTGACACCTGGTCTAGACAAGAACCCTCAGAGGAATCACTCTCCAGAGATTCTTGATCCTCAGGTGAATCAGGATCTGTCACGATCAAGCACTTCAGTATAAGGCAGATGTTGTAAACCATGTAGTTAATATGACGTGTACTGGAGGATTTGGACTCAGCAGGCTCCGTTACCTGCGTGATTAAAGCCAGTTTGCCGTTCACCTTCCTTGCTACTTCTGCTGAGAACAGGTGCAGTAACATTTCAGACTCGTAGGTCCTCTCCTGTCGGTATCCCAGTGCATCACCGAAACAGAAGTCAAACGAATCCCCAATGCTGGCTTGGATATCTTCTTCTGTCACGTAACGATAATTCCTCTGTCGAGTTTCACTGCCGTCCCTTTTAAAAAGAAAAGAAATTAGTCAGCTGATCTGCTCTGGGTGGTGGGATTCAAACATGGTATCATACAGTTCAGAATGCGGTGGATCAATAACTGTTTGGACTCTAATGAAGGTTGCAATGTGGCTATTTGAGAAGAAGTAAACTGAGTGTTGGAAGGTTTTGACTTACCTTGTGGTACAAATCCTGCTGGCGTTCCCGGCTTCATCCTGAGCGGTTCTGCTTTGAATCTGAGGTGCCACGGCTTTTGAGATCGTGTTGCTGAGGGACTGTGTGAGTATGTGACACATGTCAGACAGCAGATTGACGATTTTGGTGTTGACGTTGCCTTCAGCCAACAACATCCACTGCCTGGAAGGAAAGATTAAGAATGGTTAAGCAAAATGTAACTGGCGTATGTATGTACAGTCAGAATTTCTGCAACTGGTTTGATCGATGACTCTTAATGTGACTTACTTGTGTGTGATGTCATGTACGAATGAATTGATAACGGAATCAAAGACGTGTGATGTGGACAAAGGGACGTCCAAATCGCTGCACCTCAGTTCTCCCAGTTTTCCCAGTTTTTCCAGTTCTTCCAGTTCTTCCAGTTCTTCTGATACAATCTAGAAAGAGAAACAATCAATGTTCAGCAAGCGGGAATCTTTTACACAGCAACAAAAGAAACTAAAGAAATCTACGTGTTCAAAATGTGACAAAATGGGATTTTTCTCGTAACTTGAAGACATTTATAAATCAAACTATAGTATTTCACCAGTAGGTAAACCGACGGGAGCTGAAAACTTTCTCCCTGAACCTGTGATTGTGTGTGTGATTGAAGGCTAGATGTTCTTACTTTGTTAGCCATGTTGCAATCCGGCACTTTCTCCGCGTATTCAACTTCTGTTGTTCTCGTGGTGAAGGTCTGTGTAGATCTGTTCACTGCGATGTCTTGACCTCATAAAGTGACTGTAGTGCAGTCTTTATTCTAATGTTCTAGAATGTCACATCAAAGAAACGGAACTCTGGAACATTCTATGTTCTAAACACGCTATGTTCTCGCGCGCACACATTCATTCCAATGCTTACTCAGCATTTTAGTGTTTTTTGTTTTTTTTTAAAGTGCTGAAAAAAACAAGACTTCCTGTGTCCAGCAAGAAAACTGAAGAAATTTGTATAGTCAAAAAGATTTTGAATTTCTGTTAGAAAGAAGGAGGTTTAATGTGGAAATCTGAAAAAATACAGACAGACATTATAGTTGTTGCAAGTTTTGGCTCCTGGCACCCTGGGGCTAAGTCAGCTAACATTAGCTGCACAAGCTAACTGGCCATCAGGAAACTCCCATAATCACCTCAGTACCACTGTTGTCAAACTGTCCTCTGTCTGTCTCGGAGGTCGTGTTCACTGGGAGGCTGCTGAGCCCCGTTCGGTTGCTAACAAGCTATCTAATGAATCTTCGCTCTGTGTCGCTAAAAGTTGAAGATTGGTTAACGGGGGAATGTCAGGATATTATTGGTTGAAATCAGTTAGTTCATGCTGACGTCAGCACGCGTCACATTTAGTTTTACAGGAAGACACAATGATTGGATTTTAATATAAAAATACAAAGAAATTGAGTTTTTGTCCTAAATTGTTAAATAAGGAAACAATATAACTGAGGATGTGATCTTAAAGAGTTAAAATTACATTTTAAGTTTCACCTGGAATTTAAATGAAGCTTTAATGAACAGAATCAGTTACACACCTGACAGCATATTGACGTTTAAACTGTCTGTTGCTGACCTGAATCTGACCCTCGTGTTTCAGCCCATCCAGCTGATCAGCAGTAACATCGAGGTGGCCAAGGCCGGAAAAGTCCCAGCAGGCAAGACTGAGATCCCCTTTGAGTTCCCTCTGATCACAAAAGGCAACAAGGTCCTTTATGAGACCTACCACGGCGTCTTCGTCAACATTCAGGTGAGAGAACGTCAGTAATATTACAGGAGGATAGTGACTGTGTCGTTTCACACTTTATACTCACTGTTACACTTTTACTACAACCTTACAGACACTACGAACCACAGCCATCAACACACGGCCACTTGTACACAAAGTTGTTCAAAAATAAAATGAAAATGTTATTAAAGGCAGCAACTATTAAGAGGTCACAACAATGAGTGACTTTCAGCTCAATAATGTGACTATATAATGTTATTTATGAACCTCAGTAGTCGTTTCTATACGTTTTATAACGTGAATAACTGAATGTCTCTCCTCAGTACACGCTCCGCTGTGACATGAAGCGCTCGCTGTTGGCCAAAGACCTGAGCAGGAACTGTGAGTTCATTGTTCACTGTCAGGTGAGTCAAACATTAAATAAAACAGCTGTTTGTTTGTTTGTGGTGTCAGTATTTCAGAGACATTTATTAGTATTTAGGAATTCATTTTTATAACTTTCTCTTCAGCTGTTTGTGTCTGACGTCACTGAGATTTCTGTAGATTAAAGATTGATTTAATTGTATTTTCTGCACCAAAAACCAAACCAACAGCAAGCTACAGCACAAACCACTACCTAACTAGCGAGCTTATCTACACCAATCATTAGCTAGTTAGTTGGTGTTTTACTACAGAAAAAAACACTAGATAATTAGCTAGGTAATCGACATCAATTGTTAGCTCGCTAATTAGCTATAACTCTAGGATTGTAGCAATAGGCTAACTAGTTGTGCGAGTGGTTACTCTTAAAATATGGACATTTTCTCCTGTTTGTGTTCAAGCCTCAGAAAGCTAAAGTCGTCCCAACTCCGGTGAACTTCACCATCACTCCGGACACCCTGCAGAACATCCGTGAGGTGAGGAACGCGCCATGTTATCGCTGCGATGCGTTTCATTTAAAGCTTTGCTGACTTGCTTTGTGTCTTCAGAGGAGTTCGCTGCCAAAGTTTCTGATCAGAGGACATCTGGACGCCACCAACTGCGTGATCAGCCAGCCGCTGACCGGAGAGGTGGTGGTGGAGAATTCCGACGTTGCCATCAAGAGCATTGAACTGCAGCTGGTGCGGGTGGAGACGTGCGGTAAGTCGGACCCAGCGAGGCGGTTTGATCAGCCTCTCTGAGCCGCCTGGTTTCTCTAAACGCCCGCTGTGTTCAGGTTGTGCCGAAGGTTACGCCCGAGACGCCACGGAGATCCAGAACATCCAGATCGCGGAAGGCGACGTCTGCCACGGCCTCGCGATCCCCATCTACATGGTCTTCCCCCGGCTGTTCACCTGCCCCACGCTGGAGACCACCAACTTCAAAGTCGGTCAGTGAAGTCTTTCAGTTCCTTAAACCACCTGAGCTAACTGTTAGCAGCAGCTCGGTTCAGTCCGTTAACATCATGTCATCACAAACTACAGTGTGTTCACAGCTGAGTTTCCACTGTATGAACGTCCATCGGAGGGTCTGAATTAAGTTCTGGAGACATTATTTTACCTCCTAAAAAGTTCTACTTTCCAGAAGTACAGGAACTTTGGGGGTGGGGATTGCAGCGTTAAACATTTCTGATTGGTCGAGCACTCGCAGCATTTTATTTCAGCGACCGTTTCTAAAAATCTTCCGCCGCAAACTTTCATTTTTTTGTTCATTTTGCTTTGACAAGTTTAGCATTTCAGGCGTTTCGAATCCGTTTGCTACGACTGCTCGTCTCTTTTCCACCATTTTTTGTTTTATAGTCAAACAAATATTAAAAACAGACATCGCTCTTTCATGTCAGCGGACTCAGAATTGTATAAAAGTTCCCTAAACAGGAAATAATCTGCTCAGAATTCATCCAAATCTCCGGTTTTACACAAACTTCCTGCAGTTACTGAGTTCACTGTTTGGGTTCTTTGTACAGTTTTGTGTTTAATATTAAATATCCATAAAATCGGTATTTATTTAATGATCAAAAAATCGGGGGAGGGGGGGGTCTCCACCCCGGGGGGGGTGCCCGCCGGCGTCAGTCGGAGTCGGCGTTCATTTTGGCCGATTCGACGTGTAGAATCAGCCAGTGGCCGTCGGCCTCAATGACCAATCTGATTGGTGGAGTGCTTGCCCTTGACTAGCGAATCAGTGAGTGCACGAGAAAACCGGAAGTGACGATGGTAAACATACTACGCCAACGCCAGTATCTTGTTATTATTAGCCATCGTATTTTCCGTTCAGCGAGACAATAACGATCCTTCTCGACTACTATCAACACTCTCTGATGGAAACAATGACTGACGACAGCGTGCTCTGTGTTTACTAGGTCTAGAGTGATCCGTCATGTCCGGTTTTCATTTTTTTGGGCGACAACACAGATTAGCGCCGCCTGCTGTTATGGGGACGTATTACGCCTCACGCACGCGCAGAACGTACGCTCCAGTTGGCGTCGGTTTGGTGTGTTCGGAGGCACTTTTTTGACCGACTCGGGGAGACGGGAGCTGACTGATCAGTCCGACTGCTTTTCTGCTGACGGTCGGCCGTCGGTTTGGTGTGTCCTGGCCTTAAGGACAAAGGTTTGGAACCAGTGAATTATATGTAATAATATAGTCCGAGCACTTTTATAGTGTAGTGTTCTGTTCGTGTCCTTTCAGAGTTTGAAGTCAACATCGTCATCGTGCTTCACGACGATCATCTGATCACAGAGAACTTCCCCCTGAAGCTGTGCAGAGTCTGAACCTGGAGGACCCGTCGGCACTGAGATTAGTTCCCTACCAACAGGACCTGGTCCTCTCTGTTTGGGTCTGAACTGTCCCTATAAAGCCAGGAAGAGATAATGCGAACCTACAGTGGCTCCACCAATGGGAACATTTGCTTTCATACAGACGAAGACCGAAAGAGTTTCAGTGCATTATTTCTTTTATATTTCTGTTTAATAAATGTTATGTTTCTGAAAGGGGATTTTCACATTTATCAGTTTGTGCCACTTAAAGGACTTCTAGGCTGCCATGATCCGGGTTCCTGAAGGGCTACAGTTTAAGTTTTCCAAGACAACATAGATTATTCCCAGGATATTTGATCATTTTAATCCATTTCACAGATTGAAGAAAAGAGCAGTGCCAATTACATGTTTGAGATAATAATCCCACAATGCAATGCTGCGTTTTATAGTTGCAAAACTATACGATCAGTGACACAAAATGATGAATAAATGTCCAAAATCTTAATTAACTGCTCGTTAGAGTGAAAAGTAAAAAATGGCTGGTGAGCTCGCGTCAACACTTTCAGTCAGCTGATGAAGTAAAAAATGTTTTTATTTGAAATTCATTCTAATGTGGTTGATTTTTAAAGTTTAATGACCAATTCAGAATCTAGGAGTGCAACAGATTGTTTAAATGCTCTTCTATCATATTGACCTACATCATTGATCTGTCAGTAAACTGTTTCTTTACTATGAAAATGGAAACTAGTGAAGCCGTCCTGAGCCAACAAGAGTTTCTGTTTAACCAGAAACAGTCGTAGTATCACCAGACTCCATAGACAAAAACAGTCTTTTTACGTTGTGTATTTAACTTCAGAGAACAGACAGACAGACGGAGGAGTTCAAACATAAGACGTTTTATTCAGAGTATAAATGGGTGCCTTCCTGCACGCCTGAACATTTTAATGGTACAATAAACTCAAGTTTATGCTTTTTAAATTTTAATGAAACAAGTGATAAAAAAAAGATAAAAGCAGATACAGATTATTGGAGGAGGGGGGGGGAGGGGGGGGGGGCAGCAGGGTTAAGACACATCAGGGGGCTTGGCGTCTCTTTCCAGACAGCGCAGGGAAATCTTCAGGCAGCAGAGCGTGATCTCTGCAGGTGGGACAGGTGCTCTGCTCCTTCAGCCACGACCGGATGCACTGAACACAGACACAACAGAGGCAGCACGTTAAAACCAGAACAGACCCTTTATTCTACCTGCAGGGACTCATTCCACCTTAAACCTGCAGGGACTCATTCCACCTTAAACCTGCAGACCACAACCCAAACAATTAAAAACACATTGAGCCGTTCACTCGCCTCATTATGGAAACCGTGTCGACACTCCAGCACGCAGATGTCGTCTGGACTCATGTCATCGTGACAGATGATGCACGGATCCTCGACGTTGAGCTGCAACCGAGACAGAGACTCAGTCAGATCAGTAATCAATAATCAATATCAGTGCAGCTCGCTCTCACTGGATGGTTCTGGACTTACTGCGTTTGACTGCGTGACTCTCTGAGGTCCGAACGTCTGCCAGACCGGGACAGCGTAAGGGGGGGCCGCGTACTGAGCCGGACTCCTGCGTCCCATCATGTTTGGTTTGGCACCAGAATTAATCTTCTCCTGAGAAACAACAACAACAACAACAACCACCAGTCTGATCAATACTGAACGTTCACAGGAGGCAGAGAACAGAGCTGGAACAAACTACTGAATGTGAGATTTGTTTTTCTGGAAATTACATTTGAAAAGAGTTTTATATTTGAGGAACAAGTTTATTAACACCGGTTCCTACAGTCAAATATTTTATCAGTACGTCCAATAAAATCTGTAGTTCCCAAAAACACATCCCCTTATTGTTTTAACTTCTTATTTCCTGCTCTCATCTGGGCTCACTGTAACGCTGGATCTTTTTTAACATGGATTACTTTAATCAATCTGCTTTAATGCGTCTGTAACTGAACTGTTTCATTAAGTTAACTCTGATTACTACAGAAGAATCACAATGTGATTGTAAATGTGTCAATCAGAGGGAATTATTAAAAAATGGTGGAATAGAGAGAAATGTGTTAAAATGAAGTTACAGCTAACTCTACTGGAGGCATTTGAAATTGTATAGATGTTGTTTCCTAATAGTATAAATAAAGTCACTTTGAATTGAAAATCATTAACTGACATCTTCTGTGACGCTGCCAACAACATCCACAGTCAGTGAATGTGTGAGCGGTGAGGAGCTGGTCTCTGGTCTGTGTGGAAACACTGAACCACCCTACCTGATGGTCCAGGATCAGCTGGGTCACTCCACCGACCATATCCTGCAACCCCATGCTGGCCAGGCTTCCGCCACTGGATGAACGCAGCTCCCGAACGAACCTCATCAAGTCCGACCTGAACACAAAAAAAACCCCCACAGAAAATAAACATAAATATATTTAATTTCCTGACCACGTTCGTGTAAAGGCAGCGTTTCCTCCTTTGTTTCTGTTCTTTGTGAAATTGTTTTATCATAAACAACTGAACTTTAGCATTTTACGCTGAGACACCAAATATTTTTATAATTAAAAAATGAACAAAAAAAACAACTTGTTGAAGAAAGTACAGACCGACTGATACTGGAGTTCTCAGGCCGACACTAATATTATTATTTGGCCGTTAAAAAACAATATATTGGTAAAAATAATGCTTTAAAATATAACCACAAAACAAGGAAAATCTATCTTGATATTAGAACTTTTAAAAAAAGAATTATTCCAGAGATAAACTTTGATCTCTGGTGGACAAACAGACACTGAATGTAACAGCAGCTGTTAATATTCCTGCTATAAACGGATCAAAAACCCCAATCAGAGGTCGTTTTACAAAAAGCGAGCCAAAGAGAAAGTTGCACCATGTTACTGATTTAAGTTCTTCTGACTGTGTTTAGATGACAAACGCCAATAAAAGGAGAGAGTCCTAAAAACTACACGTCTGTGTATTCTCAGCATTACCTGCTGTAGTCGGGGAACATGGCGGACAGGCGCTCCATGCCTTTGTCGAACACGGTGCCGTGTGCAGACTCCGGGGTCTTGGTCGGAGGTTTGTGCTGCGTCTGAGGCGGGGGGGGCGCCGCCTCGGCCGCAGACTGCTGGGGGAGGGTGGGAGAGCCGTGGGAGGCTGAGGACGGAGGCAGTGACTCTTTGGCTGCCGCAGACGTCTACAACATCAACAGAGAGTCATTAGTGGTTAATTAACACTGATTTCATTAATGAGACTCCACTATCTGCTCTGATTGGTCTGTTTTTATTGACCTGAATCTGGATTTTCACAATAAAAGTGTCTCATAGCAACAAGAACAACTCAATTAACTGTTTTTAGTGAAAACCTGTAAACCTGCTCTTCATTTTATCTTTTTCTTATTTAATTCATGAAATCGTTTTGTCTATAAAAAGTTTGTTAAGCCACTAAAAAAGGTTTTAATGTATAAAAGAAAGAAGCAGCTCGTCCTCCATCGTGCTGTACTGGTCTATCTGATGTGGTCTTACTGGTGCAGCTGGAGGTTCAGACTGGTGGTTCACGTTGACCGGAAGCAACTCGCTGACTCTTCTGCCGTTCTTCACCTGATCCTTCTGCTCCTGGTACTGAGTCTGTGGACCAACACAGAGAGACTGATGAACATCTGCTCTTATTAAACATCTGCCTTATTGTTAATCAATGAATTGATCGTGATGATCTTTTCATCCTTTCACCTCGGCAGCAGAGATTTTGCGTTCGATCTCCTGGACGTTGGTTCTCCAGCTGTTTCTGGTCATTTCCAGTTCCTGGTTTGGGTGTCTGGAAAAAGAAAGACGGACAGATATGAGACGTGAAGCGGCGCGTTGTCTCCGGCGAACGCGGGGGTTGGTGGTGGCGTTAGGCCTCTTACCGGTGAACGGCTTCGTCCAGTTTGTTCAGCAGAGCCTTGGCGTTGGTCAGCTCTCTGTAGAGTCCGTACAGACCCTGATCCCGACTGCTCTCCATCGCTGACAGCTGCAGTGAAACAGCATTAATGATCAAAACCACTGCAACCGGTTAGTTTACTGATGTTTAATCTGCTTTACTGTTGAATATGAATATATCAGCGATTCATCCATTTCTTGGGCATTTTTTGTCATTTTATTTTGCTAATTTAATGTTCTGCTTTCAAAGATTGCTCATAAACTGCTTATACAACTTAATATTGGAAGAAATTGATTTATTGTAGAGAATTATTGTGTTAAACTGTGCGAGTACGTTTAAATTTAAATGTTCTGAATGATTCCAGCCAGCCTAAACAAATATCTTTACATGTTTTGTATTTTGTTATTAAAGTTGGACTGATGGAGGATTTTTAAAGAACCCTTTAATATCATGAATGGTTCGATACCTGGCTGCCTGTCAGAGAGCTGAGAGTTAAATATGTGACATTGAACGTCACAGCGGTGTGTTCAATGAGTCTGATCGGGAACGAGGAACCCACCTGAGCCGTGTGAGACCTCCGGGTCGCCGAGGTAAATGAGACCTTGCAGCGTTTGATCTCGTCCTCCAGACTCATCTTCTCCGCCGCCGACTGGTTGCTGAACGAACGACGACGAGACAGAAGTCAAATAAAAAGTCTGCCAGGGTTTTATTTTAAGTTCAGCCGTCGCTCAGCACTCACCTCAGCTCCAGGAAGTCCTTCAACCTTGTGTCATAGTTCTTCTTTTTCTCTCGGATGCTTCGGGAAAGACTGCGTGAAAAAAAGACACAAATATACAAATTAATTTATTTCATTAATGTTTAGAGCGACATATAACTGAAACATTATTTAAACTCATCTTTAACAGTCTCACCTCCCGTGTTCCTCCACCAACTCCTCCATCTCGGCCTTCAGGGTCTTCAGCACTTCCTGGTTGGCCTTCTTCTCCTTCTGGTCCTTCCTCACCTCCTCCTCCAGCTTCTGCTGGAACAGCACCAGCTCTTTATTGGTCACCTGGACGGCAGGAAACAACCATGAGTCACTCAGATTCAGCTCATTGTACCTTTAACTCCTCTCTTATCACTGCTCACTTGTATGTTGGTGGAGATCTTGTGGATTTCCTCCTCGAGGAACGCGAGCTCTTCTTTGTGTCTCATGTTGATTTCGTCGCAGCTGTTCTCCATTTTCAGGATCTGATCCTTCAGGTTCTTGATGGCCTTTTGCTTTTTGTTGATGTCACCCTGGAAGAAGGCCAAAAAGGAGTCAATGAAATTAGTAAAGACTTAAACACACTCGCTCACACTCGTGGTCAGCTTCAGAAAAACCTGATACTGAAAACGTTGCTGCAAGTTTGTTAAACCTGCTTCTAAAGAGTCGTTCTGCAACAGTTAAGTTTCAATCTAATACATTGACGATGAGTGGCGTAGATCTGAGTGAGCGGCTAAAATACAACTAGTCTGTAAATGTTGAGGTTAGAGACTTGGTAGTGAGTTCACTCAGTCACAGTTTAAAATTAATATCGGCTGATTTTATATTATCAGATTTTATTAAACTCCTAAAGAGAATTAAAAAATTCTGACTGGTCAAGGCAGACGACCGACAGCCTAGAGCCGGAGTCTGCTCGAGGTTTCTGCCTCTTTAATCAAAGTCTTTCCTTGCCGCTGTCGCCAAGTGCTCCCTCATAGTGGGAACTGTCGGGTAAATCATTTTATAAGGAGTACGGTCTGGACCTGCTCTATTGGAAACCATAGAAAGATAAATGTGGTAAGGTTTTGTCAAACATAATGTAACATTATTTAATAATTATTGTATTTATAAAGCAGTTTTTCAAGCTTAGGCAGCTTTTCAGATTAAAGGATACACAGAACAAAGATGAGCCGCCACCATAAACACACCAAAAAAATAAAAGCGCAAAATATTCATATAAAAGAAAAAATAAAGTGATGATACTAAAACAACAACAATAAAATACAGTTTGTGGCGACATAAAACACGACACAAGAATGGAAAGGTGAATAAAGTACAGCTGCACAATGAATCTAAATATTATCGAAATCACAATATGGAAGTGCAACATGTAAATGTTGTAAAGAGCTGTAAGAAAACCCCGTTTTTAAAAATGATAGTAATAATAGTTTTTGTTCAATTTGTGATGCAGAAATGATCATAGTGAATCAGAATCTCATTATGGTATGTCTACCTTACGGTGCAGCCCTATAATACATCAGCATCCGTCTGAAGCAGTTTCAGATAATAAGAACTCACCTGGCAGCTCTCGAAGAGCTCGTGAAACTCAGTATTCACCGCCACGCTCCTCATGGCCTCCTGACACGTCTGAGAGAACATAAAGAGCATTTAAACCACAGCTCAGTGTCCGTTCATGTGTTTCCATATAGTTTATTTAAACATTCAACCGTTGGTACTAACCTGCACTGCTGCATGTTTCCTCCGAAGGTTTTCCTCCGTCGTCGCCGAGGCGCCGAAAGTTTGATCCCAAATTCCACCGTCGCCCTCGCCGGAATATAGATCCGGCTCGCCGTAGCCTTTAGGTAAAAAGTTAGGTGCTTCCTGCTGACAGTCGCCATTAGTCCAATGAGAATACGGATCATTTACTGTCAGAGTAACGCCACCCGCCGAGAGGACGCTGGATACATAAGGGTTAGGGAGGATGGGATAGACTTCAGTCTGTGCAAATGAGTACTGGTCCAGGTAGCTTGTGTAAGCCGGATCATGAACTGCCTGAAAATCAGGGGAGTTCGAGTCCACCAGGTCATCCAGGTCGTCCAGGTCGTCCAGGCTGGGTCCGTGTCCGGTCTGCTGCAGGCAAACGGCGTGCTTAGCCAGGCCAATGGACCTCCCCATCTGTATGAAGCGAAGGGACTCTAGGAGGAAAGACTCGAAGCCGCCCGCTTCTCGGATCTTCTGCTGAGCAACGGGAGGGAAATATTCCAGTTCTCCCACCAGCAAAGGGTCCTCAGCGACCAGGGGACCGTGCTCCTCCAGGATCTGAGCAAAGTAGCTGCAGCGGAGAGAGAGAGAGAGAGAGAGACAATCTCATAATCCACAGTAACAGAATCTGGATCCATATCTGTCTGATCAGCGCTGCTTAGTTTGACAGTTTGATCTGAGTTTGGTGCATTTTCATCTGTTTTTCTTGTGGTTTTTTTGCCTATTTTTCATGTTTTCAGTCCAGTGTTCATGTTTTTTGTTCAACTTTTAGTGTTTCTAGTGTTTTTTTGTGTATTTGTCATGTTTTCTGTATGTTCTTCATTTCATTGAGCTGGACGGACTCACTGAGAATGAGCTGTCAATCACAAGGTAGCCCCGCCCTAAATGCTTTATGGTCTGTTTTACTCTAAAGGGGACCATCAGTTACTAAATAAACATCATGCTGTATGGAAGAAGACTGAAACTAGAGACTGAGACCAGAAACTCATCAGGAAACTGTTTACTGAGCTCATAAATCAACTGAGAAGTGGACTCAGACTCAAAAACGTCTCATTCTAAAAGGTAACAAAAACCCATAAATTCTTATATTCAGGTGATTAAACCCTCATGAAAACATACATAAGAGTATTATATTACATTTCTGACATGAGATCATCCAGAATGTGACACACTGGAACTTTAACGTGGTGAAACTAATTAAGAAATGTGGGAAAATAAAAGGAGATCTTGCTGCATTGAACTCTATTTCACTTACTCATACAAACTCTCTTTTGTCGGGTCGGGGTTGTTGTCCAAAATCATTTTATAGTGACTTCTGTTTCTGGGGCCGTTGAACTGGTCCTCAAAATCGGCCACTTGCTCTCGAAGGTGACTGGGTACAGTGAATGGATCACCGGGGTGAAGGAATGATCTGTGCACGGGGAAGAGCTCAACGTTATCAATTAGTTATCATCACGTTTATATATTACGATACAATCTGTGGGCGCAACTTACAAAGAGTCATCTTCAAATAAGTCTTGGTCCAATTCCTCTCTCGGTACGCGTCTCGGGCTCATCCAAACATAAAGAGCCTGAGAGGAAGTCGAGAGGAAGATGAGAGGAAGACGAGAGGAAGACGAAAGGAAGCACTTGAGACTGATGATACATGGACGTAAGAAACTTTACAATGAACAACTATCAATCAAACTCCTTCTGACCTTCGGCTCTTTCTGTTTCTTTTTCCGGCCTCGACTCTTCATAGGAGAATTCTGAAATGGGAATAAACTCGAGAATGAACACGAAGCTCAAGTTTAATGGTTCATTTTAATATTAACGTGATTTCAGTCAGGTTAAACCACGTTAAAGGAATAGTTCGTCATTTTGAGAAATGTTTGATTTTTACCGGTTTAGTGTGCCTTTGCCTCGCAATGTGTCGCACATTTTCACATTTTGGTAAAAAATTTAACAAAAGAGATATGATGTGTTAATTTGTGAGCTTTAGAGGTGCTTTAAAACTTTTTAAGACTTTAAAACCACAAAAAGTGCAATTTAATACATTACATTTATTTAGAAGAAAACATTAAGAGAAAAAGCTTCAAACTGTTCATTATTTAAACTAGAAGTCTCATATATCCATCAACAATCACTTCTATTAACACAAAACTTGGTCCAGTAGTTTCCTGAGACACTGTTCAAAATCTGGCACCGTTATTATTTATTTTAAGTCATGAAATCTGCAAAAATTATGATTGTTGATGTTTTTGACCCAAACTCAAGTTCAACCGAAGTACATTGTATATTCGAAAAACTTTACATCCACACATTTCCTGAATTGAGCTTCTTGTAACACCGGTATTCGGTTTTAGAATCTATCGACCCTAATGACCAAAGGTTGTTTTTACAATTTTGATAGTCCAAAAAATTTACAACTTATTGTTGGTTGCAGAGAAAACAGGAAGTTATGTCACATCTCAACTGATCCGGTCCCATTAATGCAAAACTTGTGTAGTTTCCCAAAGACCTTAAAGATCCACTGAATTTATTTTTCCAAAGCGCTGTTTTCGAACCAGATGTTTTCCAGTCTCTGAGCTGCTGGTTTCTTTATCTTTTATATTTTTAATTGCCAAAATTAACTGATTGCACCTGCACAGTTTGATGCCCATTTAAACCATTTTATCTCCCAACAAAACAAACAAGTTTATTTCCCAGAATGCCGAACTCGTCCTTTAAGTTTCGTTTCCATCCAGTAAATCATCAAAACAAAATGCTGTTAGAGTTTCTAAAGACTTACATTTTGATTTTCATCAGACTTTTTTAAGACTGAACAATGTCCATCTGAAAAACAATCAGAAGTCAGAACGGGAAGTTAAAAAGTAAAAAAAACCTGCAAATTTCAATGTTAAAGTTAAATATATACGTACCCATCATATCAAAATATTCCTCCAGTATAATGTGGCAGGACACATACTCCTCTCTATGCTCCTCCAGAGTCCAGATAAACAGTCTCATGTCGTCTGGCGGGGCCTGTTTTAGGTATTCAGTCACTGTCAAGCCAATGCTTGAAAACAGCTCCGGCCTAGTACCGAGCTTTTCTATAATCACCTCCTGCAGGGGACCAAAGTTGAGCAAAAAAGACAAGTCCAGCTGCTCCAAGTGTTCCGAGTAGCGCTCAATGAAGGATTTGGCAGCGTTGAGACCTGAAGAAAGCAGAAAGTACGTCGGTCAGACCTTGAGTTGATGTTAAAATCCATAATTTTTATGTAACTTCTGTACGCAGATGCTCCTCGAACCCTCAGTAAACACATATTTCCTTTAAATGCAACACGTTAAATGCTGACCTGCATTGTTGAGCTGACACGCCCAGTTGCTGAGTTTAGGATTTATATCCAGACAGTTACTGAGTGTTTGGACAAGCACTCGAGCCCAAACCCGGTTCTTCCTCTCCAATAGCAGTTCAACAACTTGACCGAGAGTCTCCAGCTGCTCCTGCTGCCAGTTGAGGATCCTCCCGGCCAGCTGGTTCCCCCTCGACGAGTCCAGCTCCAGCCAGGGCCCAAGGCTGTTGGTCAGGGCCGACATGTGGAGGCCCTTCTCCTCTCGCAGCAGCTCCAAGTTCTGGCTGATCTGCAAAAGGTATCGATCCCTGTACAGCAACCAGGCTGACAGCACAGAGGGAACATGGGGAGAAAGTGACCGATAAGACTCTCGTTAGGTGAACATGCAGCTCGTTAAAAACTACTGCTGCCTGCCAGCGTCCAAACCTGGTGCTAATTCTCTCTCCTAACCTCTTTGAATATAATCTGTGTCTTATCATTCACCTTATCTGCACTTCTAGTAGCTTGAATTTATGTAGTTTTTCTAATTTGTACTCGCTGTTGTTGTCGTTACCTTTGTTGCTGTCATTGTTTGTGCTGTCATGTCTTACTGTCTTTATATTACTCACGTATCTTGCACCAATATATTTATTAAAAAGGATATGTTGTAGAATCTTAAAAACTCTTGTCACCAAGTCCTTCAGCTGATATTATTTATTGAATTAAGATTTTTTTTTTAAAAAGGTATTTTGGTGACCTTGCAGTATATAAATGCCAAAGATATTGTTTTATGTAATTTAGAAACAGTTTTTATAGAAGTTTTACCTTTCTGTTGAATCTGTGTTGCTGAATCTTCCTTCTTCAGCAGAATCTCATCGTTGATAGTTTGCTTATCTTGAAACGCCTGTTTATGCTGCTTCCTCTTGAGCCGGTGCTCTTCCTTTGATTTTAACTTCTTCAGGCTGAAGATATAAAAGAGAGAAAAGGACGTTCAGAAGGACTTTACTCTGTTAGATGCTGCAAAATGTGTTGATGCCTTTCAATAGCAAGCATGTAAGTTTATCTTAAAATACAGCTGCTTCAGCACAGCACTGCTTTTATATCTTTATATCAGTCGCTAAAGCTTCACAGGGGGTCGGTCAGGCCTTCTTGATTTTATGGCATGCAAGAAAACTTAAAAAATAAAAACAGTGGGATATCTCAACATTTGGTTCCCTTCTGTGAACAATGGCCAAGTGTCAGGGAAAAGAAAACACTGAACGTGACAGAAAAGAAGCTATTAAGTTTGTATGATTGTGTGAAAATTATAAAAAAAATATATAATACAAACAGAGAATTGTATAAAAAGTTCCCTAAACAAATAATCTTCCTGCAGTTACTGAGTTCACTGTTTGGGTTCATTGTACAGTTTTGAGTTAAATATGAAATATCCATAAAATATAAGTTTAATAAATGATAGAAAATGGCTCCCTTGAGGTAAATAAAGTGATTCAACAACTCCTTTGAGTCAAACACTCAGTCGCCAGCTTTAACTGCAGCCTCACCTTGTACATTTCTGATTCACTTTTGGCTTCTTTGGAGTCTGCGGTTTGTTGATGGCAGCGTCAAACTGAAGAGAGGAAGAACTCGGGGGGTTAAAAACAACAAAAACAACAGCACAGTGGCTCTAAAAAAGCTCAGGCTACCTGCAGGGAATCCTCTTACCTTACATTTCACCAGGCCCGTCGGACCAAAGATTTTGATACTACAGATTTGTCCGACGCAGTCTGGAGTCAAACAGGGATCTTGTAGGAAATCCTGCAACAGAAAAACAACGCGTGAAGAACCGACTGCGACTGGAAGAAGAGGAGAAACGACATGAGACGTAAACTAAATGTACCTTTTCATTCTTTTCAAAGAAGGATGATGTCTTGAGGCTCTTCCAACAGGACATGTGATATTCAATGATGCAGCTCTGACAGCAGCATATTTGAATGAAGCCCTTTAATAAAAGAGACAGATACGCTTAAAGTTCAGCACTGCTTTTAATGTTTGAATTTTAAAAGAAACTGCCTTTCGCTAACTGTGTTTCACCTTAAAATCTGGGTCTGTGAAGTAGATTTCAGCCTTTAAATGGCCGTGGCATTTCTCAAGTCGACAAATGGCGTCAGGAACAGGAGGAAATTTGCACAACTCTATAGCACTGTCCAGAATTTCCTAAAGAGAGAAAACACCAGTCAGATAAACCCAGTTTGTTCTCCAAATGAGTGAACTCTAAAGACATGAAGTGAGATGTGAGCCATGAATACTGTATGTGACCTTATTCGTATGTAAAAGGAGAAATTTGTCAATACATTGTTGTTTAAAACTGTTTGATCATTTCCCCTTTGTGCCTGCGTCAGCATTGTGGTTGTCTGCCAGAAGCTGTCATACATTGACTGTTTATCCAGTTTGAAGCTGAGCTAACGTTAGCAGCAGCTCGGCTCACTGCCCCTCCGGGACGTCCTCTGTCTGTCCAACAGCGTGGGAGAAGCAGTGATTGTTAAGGAGGAACTGCTTTATTCAGTGTGTTTAGTGGTTCTGTTTGTTTTGGAGAGGAGGAGAAGGAATCCTAACCGGGAGAAGCTGACTACAATGACGCCAATGGTGGTGAAGACAACATGACTCCGGGACTCCAGAAGCTCCGGCTCTGCCCTCTACTCGCTTCCCCAAAACTCCTCAGAGATGTTCAAACCCCAACATGCTACTAAAATAACCCTGTAATATACGTATGTAACCCAACCCTGCAGGGAGGACATACCTTGAAATAGTCTGGCTGTGTTTCTTTGACAATCTCTTTTGTTAAAGGCCAGGTGAGTTTACCCGGCGTTATTTGATTCTTCACCATCTGCAGAGAATCTGAAAACTGCTCCAGAGCAACTGAAAACCTGTCGGCAGAAGAGACGCACACAGTCATACAGTCCGAAACAGCAGAAAGGTTTGAGTCGATGAGAGGAAGCTGCTACGAGCAGACGTTACCGTACCTGTTCTCTCGGACATACACCCTCCCGATGGCGTAGAAAACCAAACACTGAAACGTCCTCTCTTCAAATGATTTTATCTTCTCCAGAAGTTTTTGTGCTTCTCCAAGTTCCTGTTTAACAACCACACATGTAAAAACTTAACTTACAATTCTTAAATGTTTTACAATTTAAATGCTTTAAATGATCCATATAATACAGCTCAAGTTTACACTCAAGTTTAAGTTAAAAATGTCATATTGACCAGCTGGACTTATTATAATCAATAGCTGTGATCAGACGCTTACAAATGTTTTTGGTTCTAAAGCTATTGATTAAAAAGGGTTAAAACAGTGACATCAAACTAATTTTAGTTCATCCAGAACAGAAGATAAACAGGAATAAATGCAATTTTAACTAAATATTTCTCAGTTTGTCTACATTCAGTCTATTTACAATCAGATTATTGTGGATAAAATACAGAAATATTGTGTTTTACTTCTCTCTTGGTCCAGTGGACAAACAAAGAATAGTTGAGCTTTTATTGAAAAATCTGAATTAATCATTTCTCTAATCATTACTGCAGTGAGTGGGTCGGATTGGACCCCTCGGTTCTGGCCAGTGAGCCGATTTATGAATTACCTCAGGCTGGCCGATATCTGTGAGGGCCGATGCTCGTCCATAAAGCAACAACAGCACGTCCAAAGTGGAGAGTCCAAGTTCCTGAGAAAGAAAAAGGAAAACGAATCATTAAGCTCCCTGAAAATCCAGTAATAATACAAATTAAGCTTTAATATGTTTCTTAAACTGCCTCAGTAACAAATTCACAGGCCTGAATTTTATGGCTGCACAATTAATATTAAAATGAATATTATCGAATACGGTCGAGTGCAATATTCAAATCACAGAAGATAAAAGGTAAAATGTGACAAACGTTATTAGCAGACGTTAATAAATGTCCTTTTTCAACCACATCCTGAAGCACTACTGTATTTTATAGCTGATAATGGAGACTGACATGGGGGAGAGAGAGGGAATAAACTAGTGACCAGTGGACAAACCTGCTGCCAAAGATACGATTAATGTTGCTCTTAAAGCTCAATTTACAAACTAAAAAGTACTGTATGTTACATCTACAATGCTTTTATTTTGAAAAACAGACGTCAATAACCAATCAATCAAATATTCACATGTTATATAATTCTCTATAGAATAGTGTTAGACACTGGTTAACCTTGGGAGTTATATGGTTACCTTGGGTGTGCTGGTTTCCAGCAAGGCCAGTGCCTGGCTGAAGGCCTGCTCTGCGTTGCGGCTGCGGAGGTCAGTTAGAGCCGCATGAGCGTCCTGCACCATAGATCTCAACTCTCTACACACAGCTGCTTTACTGACGTCCACCTTCTGGATCTGAACACACGAAAACATCACAGCAGGTCAGACACTTCATTCAAATACACGGTTTAAGATGTTAGAGGTGTAAAGTGGAGACGCTGTTAAATACGAGCTGTTACAGTTCAACAACTGCTAAACTCTCAGCACAATTAAAATTAACTATATATATATATATATATATATAAAAATACCTTTTAAAAACTATTATAAAGTGTTTCACAGGACGGTGACAAATAAAATCAAGCAGGAGAATCATCAGGTACAAAATTACCATGAACAACATTGTTTTCACTCAAAAATAAATTATAAAAATCACATTTTAAATACATGTAAAAGCACAAATTGCCTCATTTAATGCACTTTGTTCACCTGGAAAACACCGGCCTTCAAAATGCCAAACCCTAGTTACCAACTGAGTTTGAACACGTGAGTGAGACCAAACTGACAAAACACTTCAGTCAGCTGTCGGAGAATAAAAGAGGCCTCAGGTGACCTCTACAGAAATAACTATTTAATAAAGCAGGACATTAAAGAGTTAACAGAGTGACTTTATCTCAGCTGAGAGGACAGAGACTCAAACATAAGTTGGAGGTCTCACTTTTTGTAACCTCTGGAATTCACATTGAGATTAATCTCAGCCTTGAGCTCAGGAAGGGAGAGAAAAGGAGTATCACAGCTGAGTGTTATCTCATCTTCGGTCGGCAGCAGAGCGAGTTTCTCACACACAGAATGTATCACAGGAAACGCCGTCATTGTTAAATCTATCAGTGTTATTCAGGTCAGACGTTTACGGAGGAGAAAAAAAAGCACAATAAACACTTTCCAGGAGTTTTTTTTTTTTTTTTTAGACAATCCAGGACAGAAAACGGTCACATGAGCTGCAGTTTCAAGCAAATTACTACATTAATTTATTTATCTTTTACTCTTTAGGTACAATTAACATTACCCAAGTTTACGTAGGCGATCTGAGTGAGCGGATAAATACAAATATTCACCCGTACGATGGATTATTTCCAGGATATTTGGTCATTTTAAATAATTTCCAGGTGTTTCCACGACTGATAAACTAGTCCCTAAATTTCCAGGTTTTCCAGGACATGTGGGAACCCTTTTAAGAGCTTAAAAAATGCGTCATCAATCTATTCAGAGCAAATATCGGAGCACCATTAGTTTAAAAACAGAGGCGGTGTTATATTGCACTGGAGGAACTGTACAAGTCTCGAAGCACGTTAGTCAAATGGCAGAAGAGGAGCTCCCAACATGGATAATTAGCAGTTTCTGATAGAGGAGATAAGACATCAGAAAATACAGCCTAAATATAGTCTGAAAACCAAACATCTGATCCCTCATTTATTCTAATTAATGAGTACAAATATACCTCAACACAGGAGAATTATTACTACATGTGAGCAGAGCTTTACCTCATCATCAGACAGACTATTTTTGTTCCTGGATTTCTTCTTCACCGGGGTGCCGGACTCTGCTTTCCCATTCTTTGAAGAAAACTCACTGGAAGCACAGAATAATTAATGAGACACACAGTCTGAAATACAGTCAGATCATATTCTGTTGCAGGGACTACATCTGTGTTTTGAGTATTTAATTCATCATATTCGTACATATATTTATTTCTAAGTACAAGATCACCAATAGCTCCACCTCTGTGCACCTTTCATGTATAACTGCGTTTATATATGAGGTTCCTGGTGGCCATCACATAATAATCCATATAAACGTTGGTATTAGTGCTTCCACAAACCTTTTTGATGCTTTAGAGTCTTTCGTGCTGCTCTCCATCTGTGCAGTCCTTTCATTTTTCCCTGGAGAAAGAAAATGAGTCACAAAGTCTTCAAATGTCATTGAAGAGGAGATTCTGTTTTCTTGAATCCGACGGAGTTGAAATCAGTCGGTGTTTAGTCGAGGCCGATTTATTCCCCCATGTGATCAGACTCAGAGAAGAACCAACAACAACCCTGAGTCTGCACTAAGACAGAGGCAGACCCGGCTTATATACCAATGACTCCACGTGACCAGGGTCGACCACACTCTCTACAGAGTGAGGATGTTCTTCTGGATTACCTCCAGTTAATCAGGGGAGGAACCCTTTGATCCATACATACAGACCTTGTGTCACAGTTTAACAGACTTATAAAAAGATATATACAGGTGGATATGGATTTATTAGAACAATAAGTTTCTGTGCGCTACCTGTGTTGTAACGTTAGCTCAGAGAGGCTAACTCTCCAGTGTCTGTGGCAGAGTGTCAGACGTTGGTTTTAATATAAGCCGGGGACGAAAGCTGCTTTCAGATCAGCAAATAGCAAAATTCAACTGCAATAGCCGGTTTCAACCAGTGGAGGTCGCTGTTCTTTCTTATAGCACAATATGTAGAATTTAAATACTTTAGAATAAAGTGTTATTCTCTTAATTAATCAATTAATTGTTTGTTTGCTCTATAAAAAAGCCTGAAAATGCTGAAAAATCCCCTAAAATGTTTTGTTTTATCAGACCAACCAGTCCACAACCCAAAGAATCTATTTACTTTGATGTAAAACCGAGAACAGCAGGAACCAATGAATGTTTGGCCTTTCTGACGATCAATGAATCACTGAATTGTTTCAGCTCCATTAATATTAAAAAGAAAACAACTGAAGGAAATACTTTAATAATGCCGAGATATTAGTGTCTGTGTGCTGCTGTAACAGGAAACACATGATAAAAACCTGTTTGTGTCAGTGGATGTTTCAAACAAACTCACCTGGTTTCTTGTCCAGTTTATTCTGTGAAACCTGTCGACACAAAAGTTAATGATTAACATTAAACTACAATCTAACTTCAGATAAAACCACATCCACACAAACACAGTGCAGCTGCCTTTCACACATCAACAGCTGGCTGCTCACACTGATTATGAACATAATCGTTAGCTTTTGTTAATCATTAAACTTTAAATATAAACAGAAGATAAAAGAGAAAAAAAGACAAAATGGCAAATTAACAATTTTTATAATTTAGTTCTTGAGATAATTAAAAAAATAAATAAAACCACAAATTCTCTGTTTAATTTTCAATCAAATGTTCTTTTGTGTTTGTTTATGTCTGGAAAAAATGGAGCAATTATCAAAATAGCTGCAGATTCATTTTCTTTCAATCGATTAATCAATTAAACATTTCAGATCTGGACAAAACTAATTCTTCTTTCACCTAAAATAACAAAATTATGCATATTATTATTATATTATATTATATATATTGTTAACCACAAAGCTGTCAGAGACTAATATTGATCCCTCTGGTTGATTATTGACGCTAGAATATGAATATTAAATCAAATAAAAACGACTAACCTTACTCTGTTGACTTGCGTTTGGCGGCGGATCATTTCTATGAACACCTTTAACAGACTGAGAGCGTGACTCCGGAGCATGAGCTCTGTTAGCGCTGTCCGATCTAAAGAACAATCACACAAATACAAACAGATGCTTCAGATGTTTGTATTTATTAATCCTGTTTGTTTCAGTGGACGTAAAGGAAGCAGACACGTACCTTTTACTGTGAGTTTTCTTAGGCAGTCCGACTGAAAGCGAAGCACAGAAACACGAGTTTAGGTTAAATATGGAGAGATAACTTCACCCAGATTGGTAATTACTTTGTTTTTCTTCTTTATCTTAATCAGTATTAGTAATTGTGTGTCTTTAGCTCTAGTAAGAGTACAAGAAGACACCGTAGTAACGTTATTAAACAGACTTTTTATTTCTTTTCTGTGGAAGCAAACAACTATTATACTGCAATCTGAGCTTATCTACACACTTTATGGTTCGGTAACGTAACCAAACTGCCCCTCCGTTAACCAAAGATGCTAACATTAACTTTATAAACGTCTCTTATTATAAATAAACTACAGACAGAAACTGAGAAACTTTGTTTATTTGCTGCAACGCATGTAATTAAATGAAGAAACCCCAAAACTTTTATTTTAAGGGCACAAAAGATGCACAGCAGAATTATTTCCTGGATGTACAGGTGTACGTTTATATGTATAGAAATAACAATATATATTGTTTTATTATAATTCTGTTCTGAGTGTGAAGGAATTACAATCTTCTTGTGCAACCTTAAAAAAAACTAATAAAAACAAGGGACATACAGTTTGTTGTTTATTAAGTTTCCTCCTTTTCTAACCTTTCTGATATCTATCTAAATGCTCACTGATGGATAAATAAATATGATTTAAGATGCACAGTGGGAATACCTTTGGGGTCGACCATTTCAGACATGAATTTCCCGTGCTGAACTTCCAGGTCTCTGATTCCCTCTTGGTCTCCTTTACAGAGACTCTGGGCTGAACTGTTGGCTTCAATCGCCATCCTGACCTCCCCCAACGAGAACAAAGCCTCACAGTAGCGATAGTGACCCTGCAAACGAAACCAGGCTTCAACGTTAAAACTCTGAACATCGTTTGTCTGCAGTTAATTTCCTCTGTTATGTCGTCTGTACTGCATTATAAAAGAGAGGATTACCTTCGCCCAGAGCGGTTTTATCAGAGTAGCTCGTTTTCCATCACCAACAGCTTTTCTGTTTGGGTTAAAACATTTGTTAAGCTTTGTGATTTTGATGTACAACGGAGTATTAGGGCCATACTAAGAAGAAAAATAAACAACATTTTGGAAATTACGAGAATAAAGTCATAATATTACGAGAATAAAGTCGTAATAATACGAGTGTAATGTACAAAAGAAACAATTTCTTCCAAGTCCGTGTTGTTCTTTCTTCGAAATAGACTCAGTCGTTTGAACAATCGTTTCAAAGTCCTGATACTGATAATAATTTGATGCTGATGTGCCTAAAGATTAAGTATTTCCTTATTTGTGAAACCGATACCAAAGTTTAACTTCACAAGATTCTCAACATTCCTCATTTTAACGCAGCAAAAATTATATTTTTTCTGGCCCTAATGCTCCGTCGTATTGATGAATATCAGCATTAAAATCAAGAGTTTCACAGTGTGATGTTGCTTCTTTTATACTGATACTGAGAAGAAAACGTGGTACTTACAGATATTTCCTACAGCGGATATAACAAAGGGCTCTGTTGCCATAAAATATGTGGTTGTCGGGGCTGAATGGAGGAGAAATTAATTTCAGTAACAAAAGTACAAAGATTTACCAAAATATTACTCACACCATTATTTTAAGAGGCATTTCTAATGTTCCCATTCATGAATTAATCAAACAGAAGCTGTCAATAAATCTGAGATCTTAAAGCTTCACACTGATCAGGATTACTCGCAGGGTCATTATATATTATTATTATTGTGCATTTATAAATAAACTGGTTACTCAAAGCAATAAGAACATGTGCCTCCTTACATAACATATTCAGAATAAGGGAGAAAAGGACACTTTTATAAAGATTAAATTAAACTCCGACTCACTAAAAATTGATGGCTTTGGAATAAAACCTCACAGCGTCTTCGTACTGCTTCCTGTTAAAGTTCTCATTTCCTTTCCTCTTCATTTCTTCACTTTTCTGGATGAGAAACAACACAAACATTTAAGGACACTTCAGGTTATGGCTGAAACTTTTTATTCAAAGTCTGATCCATCATTCAGTCACTATGTAAAGATACGTCGGGAGTGTGTTCAGCTCCACGGTGTCACTGATCTACTGCATGCTCTGCTGTCTGAGCAGTACACTACGGCTATTGTTGTGGCTGAAAGTGGAGCCCCAACAGAATATAATGACACCAAAGGAAGTAATTTGAGGAAACATTTTGAATTTGACACTATAAAATGGAAAAAATGTGAATAAAAGGTGAAGCTGCACTCTCATGATTACTGAGTAATAAGCTTCCTTTCCTACAATTTATAACTGAGAATGAGAATAAAGTGAAATTAATAACACATTTTGAGCCAAAACAGTGTTTGTAATACTCAATACGGCTTTAATTGTCCCTATATTGTGTGTACAGAGTGATATCATTACAGGAGCTTTGTGTTTGGATCTCAAAAAATATTTTTTGTGAGCAAAAACATTTCCATGGAAGGTGGTCGAGGTCTAATTCATTGTTCCCTCTTCCTCTGGATCTAAAAAAAGGATGTGACGGCAGTGTGAGTGGGAGGCCAGCACTCCTCTACAGCTCAGTACGCTCACTTCGCTAAAGACTTTCTAACTGCCGTCACTGTGACTTATTGTGTTGTAAATACTCCTAAGTGGACTCCAGGGAGTAGCTGTGCTGTCACGAGAGGTAATTGTGCCCTTCAGTGAACAAATGTCACATAATAACTATAGTTAGTCTTCATTTTTAAACCACGTGCAGTTACTATCTCATTAAGGCTGCTCGGATAATTCCTCAGCAAACATAAGAGCAGCTCAACCCTGAGTACAGGTTACAGACAGGAGAACAGATGCCTGTTAAAAGCCCCTTTTTGGATGAAACAAGCGTTGGTTTTTGCACATTTTGCACATTATACAATAAAAACAATCTCAGTTTACGATTGAAGAGTAAAGGACGGTAAAAAGACACTTCGAGCTCAAACTATCAAACTAGAGACGGCGGATCAGTTTCAGTCACTGGCATCCTGCATGCTAACGTTAGCAGCTCTTTCAGACTATCAAACAAGGTGACGTTACACTCTTCAGCTTGTAGATATACTTTGTGTCCTCAGGTTAGCTTTGCATTTTGTAGTTTGCATCTCACTGCAGGCACTCTCTCTCTATCAATACTCTCTCACCGACTATGGTATGAAAATTCGGCACAGACTGATTTAACGTGAACCAACCGGAACTCTGTAACGTGATTGTTTGCCTGACTGGTCGTAAGATTTGCATTTAACACAAGTCAAATTCTCTCTCGCTCTCTCTCTCATCGTGTTGTTGTGTCTTACCTCTATGTTATGGTCATGTGGTCGAGCAATCAGTGCCTTCATCGTCTTCTCCAAGTTGGTTCCCATTTCGTGAATATACTTTGCAACTGAATGAGCAGAAAGAAGAGTGTGTGAAACCAAAGCTGTGCCGGTTCTGTGTGTCAGATGGTGTAGCAGAGCCGTCTGTGTGACCTGCAGTGTGACTGTGACTGACTGTAACTGACTGTATCTGACTGTATCTGACTGTGACTGACTGTAACTGACTGTGTCTGACTGTGTCTGACTGTGTCTGACTGTGTCTGACTGTGTCTGACTGTGTCTGACCGTGTCTGACCGTGTCTGACTGTGTCTGACTGTGTCTGACTGTATCTGACTGTGTCTGACTGTAACTGACTGTAACTGACCGTGTCTGACTGTGTCTGACTGTATCTGACTGTGTTCTGACTGTAACTGACTGTATCTGACTGTGACTTACACTCGGTGAAGATAACCTGCAGGGCTGTGAAGCAGATGTGTATGTGGCCGAGATCCAAGATACGATGGCGAATCGCAGGCTCTCCCGTTCTCTCCAACCACTGCAACGCATCCTCCAAAACCTCTGTCGACCGCTGGTGGTACAAAGTCAACCTCAGATGAAGTCGTCAACATTACCTTTATGTATTGATAACCTCTTTCATATTCAATGAACACAGTAACTTTTCTCAGACTCACCGTCTGAAACATGTTTCGTATCCAGAAAACGTGTTTTGATTGGTCCTTTTTCAACTGGAACAGAACAAACTGAAGTTTAGATCAAAGAAAAAGTGGTAAAAACCAACAATGCTCTTATTCTCTTCAGTGTTAAATGAAGCGTTATATGTTATCTAAGATATCTTCTGAGTTTTCCTGTATTATAATACCGGAGATCCTGAGTAAACACTAACAGGAGAATGAAAATCTAATAATAAAGTGTTCTTGTTCACAATAATTTATGAGTAAAGTTTTAATGGACCAGTTTGTAGGATTTAGTGGTGTAGTTGCAAAACGCTTGAAAAACAATAGGACGTAACGTGTTAGTTGTGGAGGCTAACTCAAAGAATCCTGGGAGGCAAAAAATATACTAGGATTGGTAGTCAGTCCGATATCTGAGAATAAGGTCAGTATCTGCACCTGATACCCAAAATAAGTTCCTCCTTTACTGGATATTTCTTTCCAAATGTTCCAGAATTTAAGCCTCAGATTTGCCCACATTACTAAAAAGGTGGAAACCCAGAGGAATACAAAAAATAAACTCTTGTTTGCCCGAGTTCCTTTGGTTCAACAGTTTCTGGATCTATTAGTTTGACTCCACTTACAGTTCCTTTCTCCAGAGCTCTGAGGACTGCTTCCACTGTCTCTATCTTGTGAAGGTGCCTCAGACTTAGATCTTCACTGCGAGCAGAAGGAGAGAATCATTACAACACAGTCCAAACACTGAAGATTAAAGCTGTTATCATTCAGACACCAACTGTGCTTACTTTGAGTCGATGAGACCTATTTTTAAAGCCCAGGCAGCGATAGCGCTGCTGTCCTCACGGTGCAGTAGGATGGGAAGCCAGAAGGCACAAATCTTCATCCGCTGCGCCGCCTCCTTTCTGGTATCGATGGGAATATAACTCCATCGTTCAAAAACCTCATCTGAAAGACAAACATACCGGAAATACATTTAGATTGACCCAGAGACAGTCTGCTTCATCAATTATTAAAACAGCCACAACAAAGCAGCAGGAGAGGATCCACATCAACACTGACACACAGGTAGAAACTGATCACTGGACTGTGATGTGACATCTAATAATGACTGATAGCAACGAGCTGGGTGTGTAACCACTTGACCCACATTTCACAACGTGCACTCAGAACTTCACATCAGAAATCAGCAGCAGGTCTTTCAGTCTTTTGCAACTTATTGTGCAATATTCAGGCTTTTTTTTTTACAGCAGATGATTAATAATTTATTTCTATCTCTCGACTTGAGCTGGGCGAGGCGAAGAGGATCTGGAAACATTTGTTTGTATAATACTGGGCTTCGTATTGGCTCTAATATGGTGATATGATACTAATCAATTCAATATATTCTAATACTGAAGTGAATCTGTATTTATCACAGTAACATCCAACAACATAACCCTCAGTTTATCTTTTCTTTCCAGAAAACTATATTTTCTTACACCTCTCGTTTATACTACTGACTTTAATACAATCCTTCCTAAATCAATAAACAGATTGGGAGCTTCCATTGTCAGCGTGTTAGTGGCTACATCAAAATGAGTCTGTAAAACTGAACTTTAAAGTAATATAAAAAGGTCAGATCTTTGGAGTAATGAAGTTTAAAAAGGGTCCAAAATTAACTTTCTGGCTCATGTGCCAGTGGCGGGAAATCTGAGAGAGTTTTTACCGACCATAAAACAGAATCATCTGTTCTCTCTTCGTCCTCGTCTTTTCTTTTTGGTGGTTTGACACCAACAATATGTCGCCACCTCTCTGATAACTATGTAATGCAGATGTTTCTTATAGTTAAAACACAGACAGACATTGTATAGAAAGCTCCAAACAGTAGCACGCTGCTTCGGTTTGATGACGTTGTTTATTTGGGACCCTGACAGTTTGTGTGGAGCTCAAATATCACAAATAAGAGAATCAATGTCCTCTCGTATCCTTTCTATTAAACATTATTGTATAAGCTGTTATTTAAAAAGGTACGCTGTCAGTTGATTCTCCCCTGTTCATGCTTACATTCCTGTTTTAAAGCAATGTAATGTCGTTAGTAATCACTCCCTCTGAAAGGAGATACTCTGTAGGTCATCCAAGCATGTCAATACTCGAGTATACATACACCATGATAACAGAACTACAGCCCTGTAAGCTGTTAATGCTGTATTCAGACTCACCTGGTGGCTGGATGATGGAATTACTTTTACCGGTGAACAGAAGTGTCTAAAAGAATTGAAACAGTTTATTAGTGAAATACAAACAAACAATAAGTTGGCTCAAAGCTCTTATTCAGATTATTGGTGGATAACTTACTGCAGACATCTGATCTGTGAGGTCTTCACAATCATAGTCAGAATCAGAGTCTGGATCCGACATTTTGTCCAACTCTGGAAGAACATTTGAATTTAAATCAGTTAAATTTACTTTACAAAGACAGTCTGCAGTTTATTTCACTGTAAAGTTAACATGCAGGAACTTGTCTGTTTTCATTGGTGTGTGTTTTTCTGGGAATTAAAGTTTCCACACTGCAGCTGCAGCGACATGACAGCTCCCCTAAAGTAAAGCCAGAACATCTGGATCCCCTGTGGTGGCTGCTGTTAGTCCGGGAAGCGTTTGATTTGATACGCAGCAGAGATTTCTACGAGCCGAGCATTTTAAACCTCAATATTGTTGACGATCACATTCATTTAACTGCGGGAAGCTGAAATCTTTATTAATATTAAATTAATTGTTGCAGAGCTACAAACAAATGAGATCAGACGACCGTCAGCAGCAACGTGTCTTTATGCGATTAGTAAATAAACTGTCATTATATCTCATCAGATTAAAACCAGCACTGTTGGTTCAGGTTGGCGAGACAATAAAATATGATACGGGGCGTCTAGAGCTTTTAGTTTGAAGACTTATTGGTTGAGTTTGTCTTTTAATCAGTCGACTTTTGATAATCAATTACTTGTTTTAGTCATTTTTCAAGCAATAAAAAGGAAAAACGTTCACTAGTTCCTGATCTTCTACTGTGATTATTTGCTGGTTACGATGAGTTTTGAACTCATATTGGTTTAAAAACAAACAATATGAAGACCGATGGCACATTTTCACTTTTTTTTAGACATTCTTTAAATTAAATGATGAATTCAGAAAATAAAAAGCAGATTAACCGTGGATGAAAATAATAGTGTGATTGTAATACTAACTCCAGGAGGTTATAATGGCGTCACAATGACTGCCAGGTAAACAGAAATATTAGTTCCTCCAGGATTTCACAGGTTTATTTGGAGATTTTACTGCAGTTTCTTTTCTGAGTTGCATATTGTGATTTATTTAGACATTTTTAACAATAAAATTGAAGGAGAAAGTAAAAGAATTGTTGTATAATTTAACAAAAAATCAAAAGGGCAACTGGTTCTAGTGGGAATAATGTCGGTGTTTGGAGCGTTAAATGTGAGACCTGTGTCTGCGTGCTGAGTTTGGGATGACTCAACGTTTTGTGCAGGAAACTATGATGATCGGTCAAAAGCATACAATTTTTGGTGGATTCCCGCCAACACAACTGAAATGAATCTGGCTGTTTCACACCATTAATCGGAGCCGCTGGAAACTACAACCAGAGCCAGTTCACTGAGCATGAACCAGCCCAACCCGGTGGATAAACAATGAGAAGGCAGCATAAACACACCTCGAGCCGTCCTCAGGTCAAACCGGGACAATATCTTATAAAGCTGGAAATAAAAACATGAGAGAGAATTAAACTGAAACAAACTGAATGATTACTAACGAGCTTTTAAAGGCTGAGATACAGTATCACTGCTCAACGTGTTATACAGTTTATACAGACATCACAATGACTGTGCACAAAGACTGCTCATCTTACAGAGCCGTTACTGAACAACCCTCATTATAACGCTGCTGTTCCAACACACCTTAATCCTCCACCATCGTCCCAGTGACCCAAAACAGTCCCTTACCTGTCAACAGTCTGAATGCCTGTCGCCCAGCAGCGTCAACACCCTCCCACCTGATCCGGGCCTGCACTCAGTTTTCATATCGAGCAAACAGAGAACGCCGTCACAACCGCTCTCCACGCCTCCTAAATGTTACACCTTCAAATTAAAGACTATACTACAACAGTTGGGCTGGTTTCAGACGACCTAAAGGCCTCCTGGTGATTAACAACCGAGCCAATGTGCCAGATGTGTGACACGGAGCTAGAAGACGTCACACTGCTTTCTCAGGAAGCTGAAACAGAAACTCCTGATAACAGCCAGACTAACTGTGGGGGAGAAGGCGACCCGGCACGCTGTCGGGTCGGACCTTTCCAGCATTACCAGGAACAGATACACACCTCGACCACTCCCTGATGAACAGCGTCCCTGCCCAACAACGGAGCCGATGACAGGATGATAGATTTAGGTATAAGGAGGTCCAGAATAATGCTTTTATTTACACTGATATTGTCTTTATCTTTATTATGTTTGCTTATAAATGATTAACTTTGAATTACTTTAGTCTTATAATCTGTCTTTTAGGTTGATTTTGTAACAATTAAACATAAATATCCTGTTTTATTAACATTACACCTTTAAAGTCCGTCTACAAACCTTTAAAACAGGTGACAGGACAATCAAACAAGCTTTCTAATAGAGTAGTGCTTCTGTATCGGTTTCATTCAGTGTTTGTTCTCATGTGACAGCTGGTTATTACCTACAGGAGACATTATAGACCCATCAGCCTGTCAGCAGGCTGCAGGTGGGAACCAAACTTCACTGTATTTCATAAATTAAACCGCTAATAAGAACAAATAAACCCCCAATAACTGTGTGTGTGTGTGTGTGTGTGTGTGTGTGTGTGAGAGTGTGTGAGTGTGTGTGTGTGTGTGTGTGTGTGCGCCATCAGACCGGGTGTGGTTAAATTCTGGTGAATTCTGGTGAACCAGTAAAACTTCATTACATTCTCGTTACTCACAGCTTCTCTACCGGAGCTAGCTCGTAGCTTAGCTAGCAGGCTAACGCCCCTCAGGACGGCTCGTTCTGCTGTTAGCATGTTAGCTCCTGTGCTAACCTGCGCAGTGTGGTTAAAGTGTGAGTTACAGAGTGAAGTCCGTCCGCGGAGGGGGGGACTACTTTCTGCTCTAATGAGGTTCAGTAAACAGCTTTTGGGACTATTTTCTCCTAATTTCGCGCATTTTAACGACTATTAATCAACTTATCGACACTTTCTTTGCTACTTTGTTTCCGCCTCCAGCTTCCGTCGGTTCGAGTCCACGAACACACGTAGTCACTGTGGGTGCAGTGATAAACCGTTAAAGGCTCACCTGTGTTACCTGTAGTGTGGAGGCTCACCTGTGTGTTACCTGTAGTGTGGAGGCTCAGTGCTGTTCACGCGACCTGCTCATGTTATTGTCCGGAAGTGAAACAGTGAAGCTGCTGCGGCGCCGCGTGTCGTCAACACGCGCCAGCAGGGGGGCGGGGCGAGTCGAACGTCGCTGCAGAGAACTTCTGCTTCGGCTTCGGCTTCTTCTTCGGCTTCGGCTGGTTTTATGGCGGGTTCACACCGCCGCCTACTGTACTGGAGACTGTAGCGTGGTTATAGTTATTATAGCTTTATAATAAGAAGAATAATTAATAATTAATAATTAATACAGCTTCTCTTTGCGTTTTTTTCTTATTCATAACATTTCAAATGTACAAATGTTTCGCTACGTTGTATAAATGTGTCAATACAATGACAGATTACAACAATATTAACAACAATAAACATAAAAACATTAAAAAATAACATTACTTTTACATAAACAGTATATAACTTTTTTTTTTTACATGACTGGACAAGTATTCTTTATATTTACTTACTTATATAGTATATATATTTTCCATTATTATCTTATATGTTCTATTATATCTTATAATATTCTTATTTTGTGATTACACATACTCACGTACTCTTTGCACTACACTCCCCTGTACTGCTGTGTCTGAATTTCTCCTACGGGAGATCAATAAAGGAACAATCTTATCTTATTTCCAGGACGTGAAGGATCACATGCCTGTTTAAGATACCCAATAAAAGTGAATACTTTTAATTCAGATATTTCTGTACTTTAACTCATGTGAAGTTTTTAATGCAGGACTTTTTGTTGTGGTATATTTACTTTTACTTAAGGAAAGGATCTGATCTCATTATGGGCATTTACATAAGACTGTTATCATTTTGTACCACTAGAGGTTGATGTTGGACTGTTTACTCACTGAGGCTGCAGACTCCTCTAATACAATAACTCACTTATCAATACTTATACATTTTACACTATATATTAAACACAGTTTTAAATGACCTTAACAGTAACAAACCTGGACCTTTATGCACCAATCCTCTTTATTTTTATTCAAGTGTTCACATGGTCAGCAAAATCAATCAATCGATCAGTCAAAATCAAGTATTTAAAGAAAATTGTATTTTTCCATAAATTGTCTAAGAAATCTTAAAAATTAATGTCCCCAAGAGGAGATCAATAAAGTATATCTTCTTCTTCTAGTGTTGTGCTAGCATTAGTTTTCTGATGTAACTACCCAGCAAACTATGATGTAGATTAACAGATTTCTCTGCAGCAAATAGCAAGTTAATCAACTTTTAACTAGTTAATCAACTTTTAACAAGCTAATCAACACAAATCATTGTAGCTTCACACTTCACCAAACTGGAGGTTTTATTCACCATTTTAAATTAATTATACAAAACTATATGCAACTTTCACTTTATCCCAAATTGTTATTACAGAAAATTGTCAGAAATGTAACATAGCCGAGCCGAGCATAAGTAGAGGAAGCCATATTTTTGTTCCCAGGATGGTGAAGACATTACGTGACTGACTCTGACTAATACTTGTTGCCTTCTTTGATTGGATTGGTTAGGTTCAGGGTAAAAATGTCTTCGTATCTTCGCCATCCTGAGGGAAAAAAAATTGCTGCACAGAAAAGAATAAAGTTGACCGAGGTTTGCTCAACTGTTAATGTCCTCGTAGGATCAATCTCACTCCTTTCTACGTCTGTCTAATCGGTCTTCAGCTCAAAGTCGTTCCTCTGCCTGAGGAGGCCGTGGAAAGATCTTTCAGGGAACCGGAAGAAGTTTCTGTTCCGCTCGAGATCCTGAGCGTTGAAAATACGAGTCGCTAAAGCTTGTTGTATGGCCGGAGACTCACAGGGGTGATGCCGCACGCTGTGGCTCACGTTCCTCTGCGGCTCAATGACTAACAGACCCAGAGTGTCGACTTCCTCCTCCGCGATACGTCCAGTGGAACTGTTGAGTGTCTTCCTGGTTTCCGTTCCTACTGTACCTTTCGTCTCATTACGTCCAAAGTCTTCACTGGATCCGTTGGTTTTACAGCTTCTGCTAATGTCTGCAGTTGAATTGGGTTTGATAGTCTCATTAAATGTATCAACTGAGACACTCTCATTAAAAAGGGGATTACCTGAGCAGCTTATAATGGTGTCAGTTAGTCTTGGTCCGTTGGCTGTCCTCGTTCTGGGTTTTCGGGGTCTTGGAGCTCCAGTTTCCTGAATGTTTCGGCGCAGATAGGTTGCGTAGTCCTGAACCAGGCGACATAACCCCGATTTATAGGACAGACGCAGTGACTCAGCTGATCCTAACGGCACAGAGTTCAGACGAACCTGTTGGAACAAGAATAAAAGAGTTTTCAAATCGACAACACGAAGAAATTCAACTGCCGACGTTCAGCGTCAACAACACAGGAAGTCCTAGAGGTGGAAAATACGGGTTTGTTTGCTCCCATTTAGTTTTTTATTAGATCTGACACCATTTTTTACTGAAATTTGCATATTGGCGATACAGAAAACAAAAAAAGTTAAAAAAAATATTTTAATTTTCAACCAGTTGACCGTGAATTCTCCGCAATTTTCCGAAATATTGTTTAATGCAAAGGGAAAAACGTTTTCCTGAATTTTAATCACCGCAACTTAGTTTCTTGTGAGTTTCAACAATCATAGAAGTTCTCTAGCGCAAAAAGTTGTCGGTATTATTCTCTCTGGCACAAGTTGCCTTTGATTCTAAATAAATATACAAAAAAAATCACAATAATTTTAACAATTTTCCTTTTGTCCCGCAATAGAAAAAAAGATTTTGGGTACTGGCACCTTTTCTGGTCAAATTCTGGCACCAACCAAGGCGAGAAGACAACAAACAACATTTTCCCTGTTGGCAGATAGTTTTGGAAACATCATTAACAGAACAGATATTTATATGCGGCAGAAATAAAAGTGACCTGGTGAATTCTCATGTGCAGATGAACGGCAGCTCCCGCCAACCACTGCTGCATGGACACTGAGCTCATCCTCTTCTTAGTGGTCATCCTCTCGTAGTGGTCGAGCAGCTCCAGTTTCAGCCAGTTATCGTAGAGCTCCGTGGTTTCCGCCATCTTCTCCTGGTTGTTGGCGATGCCGGGGATCCGGCGCAGGTAGTTGTGGATAATCCAGCCAATCCTGGAGGAACTGCTGATGCCAAAAATCCTCTGGGACCCCTCAGTTGTTAGTCCCCCTTCTGTTGATCCTTGACCTCGGACCTGGAGGGAGAGTCTATGTTTTAGCTGCTTTAGCTTTGTGGTTCAAAGACTTCATGGCTAACGTGCTGATATTTAGCAAGTTTAGTGTATTAGCATGCTAACATGTGCTAATTAGCATTAAACACAAGTACGACTGCGGCTGGATGTCATTAGTTTTGCAGGTATTTGGTCATAAATCACAATACTGGACAAATTCAAAGTTCCATATGTAAGATTCTGAAGCGTTTTGAATATTATTTATCGCACATGAGGTTGTAACAAAACTTTAAATCCAGCTAGCTAACTGTAGCTAAGCGGCTGTGTCTTGGCTGCGCGCCGTGCGTCCGGCATTGGTCGCTTTGTGGCGTTGGCTGACAGAGTGAGTTGGAAACGCCACGATTGACGTTCACATGCACCTTCGGACGATTGCGAGCAATAAGACACCGACTGCAGTTCACCTAACGGCCACCGGTGTCGCTGTTAGCAACTGTTTGACCTGCTGATGAGAAGCCACCGACGGACTTTCTGCGCCGCGTTTCATGACAATCTGTCCAATAATTGTCCAGATATTTCTCTTCCACTGATTTCAGAAAGCTGCATCATATGTTTTGAGCTTCTTTAACCCTCCAATAGTTTCACAAAAACCCAAAAAGTTTGACCCACTTGTTGGGCGACCTGGTCAAAAAGCACGGACAGAGCCAGAGCGACAACGCCGACTCCCCCGTACGTGACCCTGCTGCCTCCCAGCTCCGCCGTCAGGTTGAGGCTGAACGCCGACTGCTGCTCTCCGCTCATGCTCCGCTGTAAGAAGGCGTACTGGTGCTGCAGGGCTGCCGAGGAGTCCAGAGACAGGAAGGTGGTGAGGACGGGGTCCAGGGAGATATCCGGGATGATGCCGGCATCTCGAGCCACGAAGAAGAGCTCCTGGACGGTGGCTGGAGAAGGAAGACACAGACTGCGACCCGTCAGGATCATGGTTGTATCCGTCTGCTTGTTCTCGGTGTTTCTGACCCTCTGTGTGTTTATTTGCCCCAGTCAGACGTTATCAGCACGACCAGCTCACCAAAGCACTCATGAACATCAATACAAACTGTTCACGAGTGGCTCAAACAAACTGGAGTCACTCATTCACATTTATTAAACTCAACTCAGTTGATTTTAGTGAATTTAAATGTGTTCAGTATTTTGAATTATTGGTGATTTACTTCCAGTTTGTTCCATTGACTCATTTTCTTTAAGTTGACTTTATATCATTATAAAATTATAAGCATTATATAGTCTTTATTTCAGTTTATTAATCATCATAAAGCCCAAATATGCATCAAAATAATTCTTAATGATCCATCAAAGATTAAATGTTTGTCCCATAAAAATTAATCAGCTACAATTTTAATAATCAATAAATTATTAATTGTTTTTATTGTACGTCGACTGTTTTTACAGGTAATGTAATAATTTGTTTTAGTGGAAGAAAACCATCACAAAAGTAATATTTGTATAAAGAAGATGCATTTAAGTGACTTTATTCTGATAAATTCTGTTCAAACATTTTAAATAAGTTGCAGTAACTGAATGGAATTAGTACAATTAACTTAATATAGCCAAGTTACTTTCACAATGAATACTTCTAGTTTCTTCTACTCAAATTAAATATATTTTATATCTTTAATAAACTAGCGGTTTAAATCAAACAGTTTAAATTGAACTAACTCGTCAGATTTAACAGTGAAAGATTATAAACACAAATACAGGAAAGTTAAAAGAAAATCAACCATATTTTCCTGCTGGTTGTTGTTTAAACAGTTTTTAGTGGAACAGCTGTGTGGTGGAAACTGATGCAAGGAAATTAAAGAGGAACATCAGGTTGACAAAAAAAAAAACTGTTTCACTTCCCTCCCGGATTGAAAGTTTCAGAAGTTTACTCTGTTGCACCTGAAGCTTAATTTAAACTGTCTGCTTCCATGTGGATGTGAGAGGACACATCAGGTGGAGATCTGCTGTTTGACAGACAAACTGACAAATTAACTTCTTTTCTGTGCAGTTGATTAAATATCATCATGATATCTGAGTTACAGTCTCTGGTTGGTTCGATTATTGATGTTTTTCCAGGTCTGTGCAGTAAAATCACTTTAATGGTCGGTGTCCTGAAATCTGTGGGAACGTTTTAAACAGATAAAATAATCTTTAGAACTTCACCAACATTAGATATGTTTTAGTTTGAAGATCTCCATCCTGGATTTGAGCTGTGAAACAAGATAACTTATCTCTGTTTGTCCTGATTTCTTTGTCATTCTCACTCAAGTTTCTCCTGTCAAAGGTCGAAAGTTCAGGATTTATTTGAAGTTTGTCTCAATAGTATTTAGTTTAGTAGTTCTTGGTGTCATAGAAAGTAATAAACCGTCTGTTCACTGTAAAACCCGACAGCACATCACATAAATGAATCCTCATTCATTCACTTTAATTAATTAAACTCAAAAATGAAATGTTGGAACTACTCAGTTGTTTTAAGAGAATTTAAATGTGTTCAGTATTTTAATTATTGGTGATTTAATTCCAGTTTGTTCCACTGACTCACTTTCTTTAAGTTGACTTATATCATTAAATAAATAACACACATATTTCATCATAAATATAAGCATTATAATGCTTTTACTTCAGTTTATTAATCATCATAAAGCCCAATTATGCATCCAAATAATTCTTAATGATCCACCAAAGTGTAAAGATTACCAAGCTACAATTAATTATTAATAGTTTTATTTTACGTCAGCTGTTTTGACAGGTAAAGTTATAATTTGCTAAACCAGTAAAAGTAAATTCAACTTTAGTGGTAACATTTGTATAAAGAAGATTTATTTAAGTGACTTTATTCAGATTAAGTCTGTTAACACATTTTAATTAAGTTAATTTACCAAAGTTACTTTAACAATAAATACTTCTAGTTACTTCTATTCAAATATCTTTTATATCTTTAATAAACTGAAACAGTTTGAGTTGAACTAACTCATCAGGTTTTACAGTGTTTGAGATTCAGTGCAGCTGATAAATAAAAGTGAACATTAACCTTAACGTCAATAAAGGAGCAGTCAGATAAACAGTGCAGATAAACTGTGTTTGGTCCTTAAGCTCCACTGAGAGTTACAAAGATACTGAGGTTGTTTATAAGTTTAAATCTTCTGAATGTCTGAAACTGCAGCTGCTGACATTGTGTGAGAATTAGTAAATGTTTATGTTTGTTTGTGCAGAAGGCAACCAGCAAAAAGTCCAGGAAGTAAGAAATATTTACACATAATTCCCAGTTTAACCACAGTTTTTAACAGATTATAATAAAGCAGAGATAACGTGTTAGTTACGGAGCTTTAGAGGTGATGAGGACTTTGTTGTTTACGCCAGTTTCTAGTGTTTTACCCTCGTTCCTCTTTTAACTCAAATTCACTATAAGTACATATTTTATTTGGTTATTTTTACACTCACAACTATCACCTGTGAGCAGAAGTTTTACTTCAGTAAGAAACTAAAAAAAAAGTCCTGCATTCAAAATTATATTTAAAAAGTATCAACAACAAACAAAATGATGATTTAATATCAAAATACACTTAAAGCACCAAAAGTAAATGAATGTAAATGATATTATTGGATTATAATTATTGATCCTTTAATGTGTTCATCACTTACTGATGCAGCTGGTAAAGGTGGAGCTAGTTTATTACTTTATGTACTTCTGGCTAAATTGAGGATTTCCCTGCTGGGATTAATATAATAATAATAATAATAATAATAATAAATGATGTATGTATGTAAAGAGAGTATAATAGTGCATTAACTCTTAAAGTGAATAATTCTTAGATTACAGATAAATTATGATTTGATTTGTAATTTTCTAAGATTTGGTATTGGCTTCGTTATTTGTGCGTCGCTTGTGTGGATTCAGTGTTTCCTTTCAGATTATTTATGGAAATAAAACACGGATACGAAGTCAAAAAATAAATGTGTAACCGTTAATTTTATTTTTTTTAAATTTTATTAATTAAAAAAATGCAATGAAACAAACTAATTCAATAACCTGTGCATTTTTTAAAATTAATTTCTTTATTTACTTGTTTATATATTTACTTATATTTATCTGAAACTATTAAAAAAATAAAATAAAATTGGTAGTTTCCGATCTCCGCCGTCGCGTCAAATGACCAACTGACCCTCGCCTTACACTTCCGGTTACAACCAAGTGACGACACGAGCGGATCCTTGAGAACTCTGTCCCGGATGCGGAAGTAAACACACTCCTCGGTTAAAACTCTCCGGAAATCAAAGTTTCGTCTTTAAACACATTTTTCCCGCTTTTACTCTTTTTTTAATAAACGTAATAAAATCTCGGTGCGCTCGCGCCGTCGGACACACTTCCGCGTTGTTGTCCAGGTAACGTCATTGTCCGGACCCCCCCCGCGCGGGTTTGTGCTCAGAGCAGGCGACAGGAGAAGAAGAAGAAGAAGAAGAAGAAGAGGAGGAAGAGGAGGTTCTGTTGCTGCTCGAGGAAGGAGACGACACACAGGTACGTTACCTGTTCCCGGGTGTTCAGGGTGTGTTCGCGGGGTTCTGCTGGTGGACTGAGTCCAACAGAACCGGGTCAGCTGACTGAGAGTGAGTGAGGAAGGTTTCAGGAGGTTCTGGAGGTTTACACTGACATTATAATGTAATGTAATATACCACCATCAAACTGTAATCTCATTACTTTATTACTCCCTGAATATGTGTTATTACATTAAAGCTCTCACAACTGTTTATCTTTAAAATATCTTTAAACTGTTCAACTCAAATATAAATAATATAATAAATAATAATAATAAATCTTTATTTATATTCTGTGTATGTATATATATCTTTTTATATTTCCTTTAATGTGAAAAACTGCTTGGTAATCAACCTGATTCTGAGTAAGTTACAGTAGTTATATCAGAATCAGGTTTATTGTATCAGTAATAATATAAATAAAGATAAAAAATAGACACAATAAAAGGTTATTTAACGGTACAGGTTATATTTACTGTGAGCTGTGGCGCCCTCTCAGCGTTATAGTCCACTCTGATCCAAATATCCACTTAAAAAACAAGATTGGCTTGTTATTATCTCACAATATAAATATATATATATAATAATATAAATCCCATTACATACAGAATGTGTTGTTACAGAGTTAATACTTACAATAAAGGAGTAATATTACTACTTTATGATGACGATTAAAATCCAGTTTTGTTTGTTAAAATTAAAGTAATGTAAATATTTCTATAGCTATAATAGTGACTTTACAGATACTAGTTTAAACAGGAATAAAATACACAAATACAAGAAAACAAACAAACAAATGATACAAACGTGCAGAACGTCTGTATGGTAAATATATAAGAAACAAGATATAATGATGGTGATTTAATGTCGTTACTGATGTTAAAATGGGAGCATTTCTTATGACACACTATTATTATTATTATTAAATATAGAAAATATATATATTATTATCCCAAACTAACAATATTAAACAAAGCATTTAAGTCCAAATGTCTTTAAATGTCTTGTTTTGTTTAATACAAACTGTAATGCGATAAGTTATTTTAACTTAAAAGAATTGCAAGAGTATTTTCAAATTGTAACACAAATTCAATTTTGTAAGTTAAAAAATATTCTTGATTAAGTAGTTTTTACTTGGTATTTTGTTTTTATTATTATTATTATTATTATTACATTGTCACTGTGAATCAGACACTCAGGGGGTTCCAGGTTATCTGTGTGGAATTTACTACTGATAGTACTAATCAATAACTTTGATAACATTGATTTGATTTATTTCAACCAAACCAGAGTTGCTGGAACAGCAGAGAGAATGAAGTTACGATGTTATGATGATCTGTGAGGTAAAATTAGTGTTTTTGTCTCTGGAGTCTGGTGGAGAGTGAAAGTGACATTACGGCTGTTTGTGGTTAAACTAACTTTAGTGAACGTGTATTTTCACCTCTAACTCTGTGAATTATGGGATTATTTTGCTGAAACCAGAGTTGGTGACTGTTAGAAAAGACTAACAGAAACAGTTCTGCTGAGTTTTATTTTGTGTCTGTCCAGCTTGAAGTGTATTTTATGATTATCTGCGAGGTAAAATTACTGGTTTTGTCAATGGAGTCTGGTTCTTATTGTCTGAGAGGCCGGTGCTCTAGTACGACATCTAGTGGCCGTGAATCTCTTATACAACCTTTAATTATCGCGTATTATTTGCCACTTGGGGGGGCAACACTGACATCTCAGCAGACACAGAGACACATTTAAAGTAATTTAGAGTCATATTTGTGTCTGTAAATCTCTGTAAGTCTGTGTGGCGTCCACAAACTGCGAGCTCTGTGCATCAAACACAACAACCAATAAACCTGCTGAACCATCGTTTACTTTCCCTCCAGCAGCCATGAGTCAGCGGACGGAGCGACGGGGGATACACGTGGACCAGTCTGATCTGCTGTGCAAGAAGGGATGCGGTTACTATGGCAACGCAGCATGGCAGGGCCTGTGCTCCAAGTGCTGGCGGGAGGAGTACCAGCGGGTGCGGCAGAAACAGATCCAGGACGACTGGGCCTTGGCAGAAAAGTAAGTCAGAACCTTCTGCCGCATTGTTGGCAGCAGCTTCTCCTCCTGTTTATGACTCACTCACCGCGCCCTGTCCGATGCTCTCAGGCTGCAGCGAGAGGAGGAGGCGGCGTATGCCAGTAGTCACGGAGCGCAGACGCACCCCCAGTCCGCAGCGCCGGCGCCGCAGCCACAGGGCGCCCCCGGGCACGCCTCCCTGGGACCCTTCTCCAAGTTTGAGGAGAAGAAGACGAATGAGAAGACGCGGAAAGTGACGACGGTGAAGAAGTTCTTCAGCCCGTCATCTCGCACCGCCCCAAAGAAAGGTACGACACTCAGAGCCGTTTGCTTCAGCCTCAGTCTTAACCTGTTTGCTTGTTCTAAATGTGGTTCTTCCTCCATCAGAAACCCAGGAGGGAAAGACTCCGAGTCCGTCCATTAGCCGCCATGCGAGCTTCGATACGGATCAGGTGTCAAAGGACTTTGTTGAGTTCCTGAAGAACCTCCAGAAGCCCGGTCGGGAGATCCACAAGCAGTGCCGAACCTTCATCATGAACATGTCGAGCAAGAAGGTCGTAATAACAACAGTTCTAATAATAAAAGCTTAACATGAGCCGATCAATACACCGATCGGCGCCGTATGACCCTCCAACCTCTCGTCTTACAGGACCTCGGCGCCGACGAGCTGTCGGAGTGCGTTCAGGATTTCTACCAGAACATGGCGGACCGCTTGATGAGCCACTTTAAAGGTCGGTTCACACACATCAACCTCTAGATGGCAGCACAAACAGGCTCCTCCTCCTCCTCGCTGCGGCTCGTTAGCTCTAATTAACGTGTTAATTGGCGTATTGATTAACGTGTTCTGATGAATCTTTGATCAGGTTCTTCGGAGTCCGTGGAGCAGGTGATGGACCAGGTGGAAAAGTACATAATGAGTCGTCTGTATAAGAGCGTCTTCTGTCCCGAAACCACCGATGACGAGAAGAAAGATCTGGCCACGCAGAAGAGGATCAGGTGGGCGGCGACGTTCACATATTGATCCACGTTTATTGGATATTTATCATAGTCAGTGTTTATCAATAACCGCTGATAAACTCAGTAACTGAAGGAAGTTTGTGTAAAACGAGAGATTTGGATGAATTTTTAGCAGATTATTTCCTGTTTTTCTAACATTTTTAGGAGCTTTTTATTTAATTATGTGTAATCTATTATTTATTTAGTTAATTTTTAACAATCATACAGACTTAATAGGCTCATTTTTTGGCTGTTTATCAAAGAGAGAAGCTCAGTAAATATAACTTGTGTTAAACTTTAGATCTTAAATAATAATTTAAACTTAAAAAATAACAATTACATTTAGTTTTCTCCACATAAATTAATAAAATGCTGAGATATCGACCTAATGTGTATATTTTTAAAGGTTTTCTTACACCCTTTAAAATCAAGAAGGCCTTGCGACCCCCTGTAAAGCTTTGGCGCCCCCTAGTGGGGGTCCCGACCCTCAGGTTGGGAACCCACTGATCTAAAATAGATCAATTTGGCAGGTTAGCGATGAAATATCAACACATTCATGAGAAGATAACCCTTCTATGACCTTTACTCCTGTGTCAACCCCAACTTTATAAAACCTGAGGGTCGGGACCCCACTAGGGGACGCCAAAGCTTCACAGGGGGGGACGTGAGGCCTTCTTGATTTTGATTTTAAAGGGTGAAAGAAAACGTATTAATATGTACAGTAGGCCTTTATAAAATGAGATGAGATACGAGATGATAAGAGTAAAGAAAAGACAATAAAATAGAAAAATATCTCATTTCATCACTTTTTTTGAATAAAACTGAATGAAGTTGTTGTTTTTTAAGTTTAGATTATTGTTTAAGATCCAAACTTTGAAGACCTGAACACAACAGAGAGACGTCACTGTCTGATAAACAGTCTCGTCCTGCGTTAGAAAACAACCAGAAACACTGAATCTGTTAAAAAAGAAGCCTATTAAGTTCTTTATGATTGTTAAAAATTAAATTAAATACTAACACAGACACAGAATTGTATAAAAACATTATAAAAATATCAGAAAAACTAATTTCTAATCAATATTTCAATATTAACAGGAAATAATCTGCTCAAAATTCATCCAGTTCTCTGGTTTTACACAAACTTCCCTTTTAGCTTTTTCTCTCGTAAATATAAAGTCGACGACTGACTGTGAGTCTCTGTATCCGCAGGGCGTTACACTGGGTGACCATCCAGATGCTGTGTGTGTCTATGGATGAAGAAATCCCAGAAGTCTCTGAGAATGTGGTCAAAGCAATAACAGGTCAGAGTGCGACTCCCTCGCCTCACCCTTCCCCTGGGCTACAGTAGAAACATGGCAGAGTCCAACGACTGTTTTTAATTAACAATTAGTCTGTATTATTTATTTATTATTTATGTTCTTGAATCATTTATGAATCATTTTTGTTTTTAAAATTTCTGAAATTAAATAAAAATCCTGAGTTAACATTTTTAAATTCCCTTTTTTTCCGAATATCCAGTCCGAGATATTAAATTAAATTTAAATTTACCATCAAAGACGACATTGTTACATTTGAGCAGCTGGAACCAGTATTTTTGTGGGGAATCTTTGCATTAAAATGACTTAAGGGACCACTGTGTTGGATTTTAGTGGCATCTAGTGGTGAAGTTGCAGATTGCAACCAACTGAATACAGCTCAGCCTTCGAAGTGTGTACGAGAAACTACGGTGGAACATAAAAGCCTCAATATAGAGTCAGTGTTTGATAAAAACATCTCATTCTAAAGTAACAAAAACACAACAATTATTATATTTAGGTGATAAAACACTAATGAAAACATACGTATGAGTGTTACTGACAATAAAACCTCCTAAATCAGGGTTCAAACAGTTGACAGCGAACAACAAAGATGATATAAAATGTATAGAAACTAATGTGAAGATACCAGTTTGAGACCTCTGTCCTAAATGTTGCACACTGGATTGTTTAACTTTAATTTTAATTGTTTAATTATTTGTTTTTCTGTTCTGGAAATCACAAAACCGCCCTCGGACCAGATACAGGCCGTCTTAAAAGTCTAAAATCATCTGAATTTAAGGTCTTAAATTGTCTTAAATATGATTTTGACAGGTCTTAAAATGTGATCAGATTAATGAAGTTTACATTGTTTGTGTAAAGTTTCAGTCTTGCCAGTATGGATGTAAAATAGGTCTTAAATTTAACCATTTAAAACCCTGTAAACCAATCAGATTCCTTCATTTTAAACCATATTTGCATCATGCAGACTCATCAGCAACCTGCTACCCAACACAGACTTTAAACAACAGCCCACATTAGCTTTAATGCTAAAGTCTTATCCAACTCGCACACTCATCTCTTCCTGTACTTTAACCTGCCGAACCAACCGAACGCTCCAGGTATCTAACGAGCTGCTTACAGTGCGTCAACGTACCTGCTAATGTCACTGCGGTCGGATGCTGGTGGTCTTTACTCTTCGTCTACTGCTAACAACAAGCTGTCTGCACATGAAACTAAAGCACTAGCTAGTTTACTTTGTTTAACTTCTGTCAGTGGTGTAACATCGGCCAGCTGCTGTCAATCAAACATAGACACGCCCCCTTTCAGACAGCTGAGACAGGGTAAGCTAGGTTGTATTTAAAGGTCCAGGTGTAACATTTAGGAGGTTTTATTGTCAGAAATGTGATATAATATTTATAGGGATGTTTTCATTAGTGTTTAATCACCATAATATAAGAATCTTTGTGTTTTCGTTTACGTAGAATAAGACGTTTTTATCTACAGAGGAATCTTCTAGTGGCAGGGTCCGCCATGTTTTCTACAGTAGCCCAGAACAGACAAACCAAACGTTGTCGGCCACCGTAGTTTCTGTCTATTACGCCGCTAGACGCCACTAAATGCTACACACTGGTTCTTTAAAGGTCGGACAGTTAGAGATAGATCATCTCAACAAGATACAAATAAAAGTATCTGCATGGCCGGATACACCGAGAGGCTGCAATCAACAACACAGTTATTTAATCATTTTAGTTTGTAAAATGTCTGAAATGAAAGAAAAATCCTCATCACAGATTCTCAGAACATCTTTAAATTCCCTCTTTTATCCAACCGAGATATTAAATTAAATTTGTTTTATTAAATTTAAATCAAAGACGACTAAGAAAGCAGCTGGAACCAGTAAATATTTACTGTAATCTTTGTTTATTGACTTTAATGACCAGTGTGTTTTTAGTGGCATCTAGTGGTGAAGTTTCAGATTGCAACCAACTGAATACAGCTCAGCCTTCCGAGTGTCTCAAGAACAAAAACATAATTATTATTTTCAGGTGATTAAACACTAATGAAAACATCCCTATAAATATTATATCACATTACTGACAATAGATCCTCCTCAATGTGACACACTGGAGCTTTAAATCAATAATTAAAACTTACTGATCACTTTTCTATGTGTCTTTGTCTCCAGATATCATTGAGATTGACTCGAAGAGGGTTCCTCGGGACAAACTCAGGTGCATCACTAGCTGCAGTAAAAACATCTTCAGCGCCATCAGGATCACGAAGAACGAGCCGGCCTCGGCGGACGACTTCCTCCCGGCGCTCATTTACATCGTGCTCAAAGCCAACCCTCCGCGGCTGCAGTCCAACATCCAGTACATCACCCGCTTCTGTAACCCCAGCAGGCTGATGACCGGAGAGGACGGCTACTACTTCACCAACCTGGTCCGTTTGACTTCAGTCCTCATCGGAGCTCGATAACTAATTAATTCAACTTTAAATCCGTCAACAAATATTTAAACTCCTGACAGAAATATCAGCGTAAAGTCGTCAGAGGTGATAGTTTCAGTTTTTGAGGGTTTAAATCTTAATAAATAAATATTTGAAGATGTTTTTTTATCTTTGATTGCTGCATAATTATTATATTGTAGAAAAATACTCAGTGAACGTCTGTAACTCTAGTTTCTTTAGATCTTTTGTAGCAACAAGAAGAGATGTCTGAACTTTATCTTTATCTCATCTGATCATTAAAATACGCAGATATTTTGAAAGATGAACGCAGACTACTGCCCCCTGTTGGCATGGAGAGTTACTACTAGGGATGTCCTGATCCGATCCGAGTCATTTGATATTGATAATCTGCCGATAACGAGTCCTGATCCAGACAGCGAATGAGGTTGATTATTTCTCATCGGTTACTTCAACCATCCTAAAGCTAAACGCTGCAGTGTTTATGCTAAGCTAAGCTGCCGACCTATTCAACTAATAGATAAGAGTTGAGATCTTTTCATGTTCCTCCACCAGAAACCACATAAACTCCTCTAATATTGAGCTGTGTTTCGTTCTCTTTCAGTGCTGTGCGGCGGCGTTCATCGAGAAGCTGGATGCTCAGTCTCTCAATCTCTCCCCAGAGGAATTCGAGCGCTACATGTCGGGCCAAGCCTCGCCGCGGTTCAACAGCTCGGAGGTAGACTGGCCCCAGACTGGCCCGGCGCCCGGCGTGGCCCCCGCCAACCCCGTCCTGGCTCAGCTCAATCACAACCTGGAGCTGCTGTCGGGCCTCAGCAGCCGGCAGGAGACGCTGATGGAGGCGGCTCAGAGTCTGCAGGCCGACCTCCTCTCCTGGCCCGAGGGCGTTCAGCGCGAGGTGCAAGACATCCTGGAGAAATATCCTCTGGAGATTCTGCCTCGCACAGCTTCGGCCATCGACGCCAACAACATAGACAACGACAACCTGCCGCCGCCGCTCACGCCGCAGGTGTTCGCTGGGTAGCAGCCGTCTAAAACGGGAGAAAAACATTTCACACACGGCAACGGTACTCCACACTAAACGCCATCTCGCTACGCGTCTTCTGCACTTTAAACACCTCGTCACACCCGTGTTTATATTCAGTGGTTCCCAACCTGGAGGTCAAAGCTCCACCGGGGGGGTCGCAACGCCTTCTTGATTTTAAAGGGTGTAAGAAAACTTTAAAAATATACACAATCGGCCGGTAATTCAGAACAATTTTGTTCATTTATGTGAAGAAAACTAAGTGAAATTGTTGTTTTCTCAGATTATCATTATTCATATAATAAATAAAAGCTAAAACCACCAAAGAGCTGTTAAAACAATGAGCAGAAAACACAGAATTTGTCTAAAAAGAAGCATCTGAAGTCTGTATGATTGTTAAATTATCTGCTCAAAATTCATCCAAATCTCCAAACTTCTTTAAGTTATTGTGTAAAACAATAAAACAGTATTTGGGTTTAATGTAGTTTATCAGCAACTGTTATTGTTATACATTGAATATAATACGAAATAAACACTTAAAATAAATCACTCGTGAGGATAAAGGTCGGGAACCACTAATATATTTTAATCAGATTGCAGCGATCAGTGGATTTACTCTCTGGGGTAAAATAAATATGCTAAAATGTCTTATTGTTATTATTATTCTGTCAGTTTCCTTTACTAAGTTGTCTGGACGGTGCTAACCTTCGAAAGGTCGGAGAGCCACAGAGTTCAAAATGGAGGAAGCTAACATGTAGCGTAGTATTTGTGTTTCACGCTCCACTAATAATTAAACGTTTGCTGTCAGACGTTAAACTCACATTCACAGTAACTCTTCAAAATAAAACGTTGATCATATCTTCCCAAATCTTTCAACTCTCGTTAAAAAACGGTTTGGTTACGCTAATCTTTAATAGTACTAACGTTTACTGTCAGCATTAAGTTGGATCTACTCTTTGTTCCCCCCATTGCTAATGTTAAAATGCTAAAGTTAGGTAGAAACAATACAGTACATTTCACTCTGTGTGGCCTTCTTGTGTTTTTATTTATCTTTTTTTATTAAATTTATCTTTTTTTATCAAATTTATGTGACTTCACTTAGATTTTAGCCTTTTTTACTTAGAAATAGTGGATAAAGGTTAAAAAGTTGATTTAAAAAGTGTGCCACAAATCAATTAAATCACCTACATATCCTAAATCAACTCACATTTACACCAAAATCAGGATTTAGACATTTTTCTGTAAAATGAAAACAGAAAATAAAAAATTAACTGTTTCTCATTTAAAAAACAAAAAAAACGAAAACAGAAAATGAATAAACGAGCTGTTTTGTTCCACTCTGACCTTTGACATCCAGTATAAACTGTGTCTGTGTTTCTGTTTTGAGGTCAGTTAGACTTTGATAACAGTTTCTTTGCTGTGTTTAATATTCGGTTTTATTTGTGTGTTGAACTGAAATCATCGAGCTGTAAATGAAACAGGAAACCGCTCTGGAACAAAAACTCATTATTGTCGAGCATCAAATCAACATGAAGAGATGCTTCAGTTTCTGTAAACACTGTTTTTAATATTGTCTTGTTTGTAGAATTCAGCTGTATAATGAACCTGAATGTAACACGACTGAATGGTCTCTTATAATTCTTGTAAATATGAAATAATATCAAATTATTTTTTGTTTTGACCATGAAAAAGATAAAAAAAAACCTTGTATTTGAATTTTAACTCTTTGGGTTGTAAAACAGAAATAACCACTCCTATTGATCGTAACGTCTCCTGACCCATAGATGCTATGAATAATGTATTTTAAATATAGATTTATTTTGCTGTTTGTGATGTTCTGTATAATATTAACTGTGTGCTGTGAGTCTGATTGCCTGTTGAAACGCTGCTGCTGTGCTAACTGACGTTGAATTAAAAACCTACATTCGACCCGGTTTGATTGCTGTTAGCAGATTAACTGAGAACCACGTGTGGTGTTACTCGCTGGGGTTCTTTAACGTCAGTCATTGGATTGATTTTTTAATTTAAACTCAATTTATGAGACACATGACAGGGAATATCTCCGATGTGGGATCAATAAAGTCTGTTTCATCTTACTTGTAACGGAGTATTTATTGGCAGAAATTGATTGAAGGTATGTTTTCATTAGTGCAGTGTTACTCAAACCTTTTTAATACCGGTCTATGTGAGTAAATGAGAAAGACCCATTGTGGTCGAAACAGCTCTTTAGTTTATTGATTATTGCCACACCTTCTTTTGTTTATTGTTTTTCTTAGACTTTTAAAAAATTAATATTTTATAAGTAAATTTTTTTTATTTATATATATATATTTTTTTTCATTTTACGGAAATTATCCTTTCATTGAAAGTGCCCTTGGTTGTTTGTTCTTTTAAAATATAAAAAATATAAGAATTTGTGACAAAAATTCGTGTTAAGCAAAAAAAACTACCCTAACCCATATACCTATATACTAAATACTTATTTGACTTGGAATAAACAGTAAAAACCAAACTTGCAAATTTAACCTGAGAATAAAAGTGGAGGGTATAAATAGAGAAGCAGGGAGCTCTGGTCACTTCTCACTTGGATGTCGACCGAGCAACATCTTTCATTTGGATCACAATCCTGCCTCAATACACCAGAAAACTTCAATAACTGTTTATGCCTGATCTTTTTCTTTTTGAAATCTCGACAATGGAAGTTCAAGATGAACTTCATGATGTTGGCACTGAGAACACAACAAATCTTCTGGATGCAGTAGCAATGTTCATCAGTGTGGAAGACTTCATGCCTGTTGAACTGTATGTGGGACTACACTCTACAACAGTATCCTATCCCCATCACTACACCACATCTTTCTCCCACGTTTCAAATCACCTTTACTGAAGCCACATTACCACATGCTGAAGAAACACGAAGACTTGACCAAGTACAGGAATCCGTGCCCTTAAAAATGCTCTGGGACACACTCTTGGATATGTAGATGGTGGGTACTAACTACTAACTTGGGCAAGTTGAGCTATCAACCCAGCTTGCATCCTTCGTGAGGAGGAAGCCAATCCAAGCTACGAGTGAACATTCAGAGACGTACCCCCAGGGGATCCCGAGAGGGGGGGAGGATGAGATCCCCAACAGGACGGACCTACGGATTATGACCCATGCAGACGGCCAGACGACGATGAAAGCAAAATGCATCTGGGGGAAAGTATGCAAGAATCTGCAGGGCCTCAAAATCCACCGGGCCAGGATGAAATGCTTGGACAAGGAGAAACAGGCGCAACGCACAGGACCAGTTCCTGGTGAGACGCAGGAGGAGCATGGCCAGGACTCACCCCACAGAGCCCAGCACCTCCACGCAGCGGTTCCCCAGACTCCATGCAGAGTAGATCGACTGCGGATCAGCAAGAGCACGTGGCAGCAATCTGACGACGACGTTTGTGAGATTGTCCAAACAACAGCTCTGTCAGGGCTAGGAGTGACCGGAGCTGTGGATTGGTGCTGCTGGGATGCAATCCGGGACTTGATCAACCCCGGATGGGTCACCTGAGTGAGGGGGTCTGATGTTGAAAGACCCGAAACCCCCGATGACCCTACGGACATCACTGATGATGCATCCCAGCCAATCCTAGAGATGTATTTAAAAACCACTGTTGACTGTTGACTCATTCAAGGAGTAAGATATTTGTATAGAAATTAAGGAAGTTTAGAGTTTTTAAGGTCTCATCTCAGTTATATTGCTCCCATATTTAACAATTTATAACAAAAAAATAAAAATTTATTTGTATTTTTATATTAAAATCCAATCATTGTGTCTTCCTGTAAAACTAAATGTGACGCGTGTTTACGTCAACATGAACTAACTGATTTCAACCAATAATATCAAACATTCACCCGTCAATCAAGATTCATTAGTTCACTGATTACTGAACAAACACAAACTTTATCTGTTTGGGTGAAACTGGAGAGATTATTGTCTGTAGACGCTTACTGCTAGTGTAGCTGCCGTCACCGTTAGCAACTGAACGGGGCTCAGCAGCCTCCCAGTGAACCTCCGAGACAGACAGAGGACAGACAGTGGACAGTTTGACGACAGTTGATTTATTGGAGTTAGCAGTTAATCATCTTAGCCCGAGTACTTTATTCGCTGTCGTCAAACTGTCCTCCGTCAGCATCAGATGATACAACAACAAGTAGAGAAGATAAAGAAAAACAGTCTCATCAAGAACCTTTTATGTAATTTTCTGTTTATTATTTCTGATACTGTTCGGTGACATGTGAAACAGCGACTAACTCGCTCCACCTCCGATGTGCAAAAGTGACGAAATGCAGTTTTTAAAGGGCCGTTGTCGGAAGTCAGTCGGCTGCGAACGGCAGGGTCATGGCTTCTCGAGGGGAATCGTATCGTAGCACTACCTTATCATTCGGGGAAGTATTTGTCATTGGTTTAAACTAGAGTTTGCATCCATTGAGATGTGTACGTGTTTCCTTATAACGTTATCATCATACAGTATATACAACAAGTACAAGATAAATTAACCGCCGGTAATGTTTATACATGCTAATATAGTTCCTGAAAAACAAATAATGAAAGCTTTATACATACAGTAAGGCAGAGAATATATATATATACAGAACTAACCTATAGAAGGTATCAGTATCAAACATCTTCAAATATTCACAACGCAACAAAACAAAGAATTCAAAACGTTTTATAGTATGTACAAAAATACTTATGCAAATGCCCCTAGGAATATCTTAATAGAAAAAATAATAGGAATCTCATCAGGAGGACATCACATTATATTTGAAACATGCACTTCGGCCGCGGAGGGTTTCAGTTCAGCGGCGGGCCACATGTCCACACGGTTGTTGTAGTTTGTTTTTCGGGGGAGAATCACTGAGATAAAAAGCGGTTCTTGGTGCAGGAATACTTGGTCTACTGTGCTCATTGGTCCTCATTCGGTACCTCAAACGTCTCACACTTTGGACTCGCTCTCTGCGTTGGCAATGTCCCCGTTCCTCTCCGTCTGCTTCCCCTTCTCGTCCGGTCCGGTCTTGGTCTCCTGGCCCTCCTGCTCAGACTCTGGCAGTCCCTGCTGGCTCAGCTTGCTGGCCAGCGACCAGGTTAGGGGCAGGCGGCTGCGGTTGAACATGTCAGCGAGCTCTTTGGCGCTGCAGGGCGGGGTGTTGGTCTCGTAGATGTCGTGGAAGCTGTTGTAGTCCACCTCGTAGAAGCCGTCCTCCAGCGTCAGGACCGGCGTGAAGCGGTAGCCCCACTTGATCTCGCTGCTGACGTACGAACTCCTCGCCTGGCACGTCATCCCTGGAGACGCAGTGAAACATTACAGGGTTAAAGGTCGTGGAACTGGAAACAGATTCATGGGAAAAGTCTTCAGTTTAAACAACCTGAATCAGTTTTATTTATCCAGGTTTTTAGAGATCTGTTGCTCAGATTTCTGCCTATATATGTGTGTTGAGTTTAAATTAACTTATATTTGTTCACATTTTTCCACCATTAAAAGTTAGCCCAATTAGCTGTCCTGTTTGCGATGTATTCGTAAATGTGCAGACAACTATCACCGTTTGACTGTCGCACTGGAGCGTCTTTTTTCTATGATCACGTAGAGTTAGTGAGAGTGTAGGTCAGACTGAATCAGATCTGATCTGAGTTATCTAAGAGTGAGTTTTGGTTTTTGAATAAAATTAAACTTCCTCTTCCTTCCGGCATCAACCCGTCAACTCTTTCTTCTTCCTAATCAATATTTTATTGACGAAAATGCAGCAAAATGTCGCACAAGGTTGGAAAATAGTAAACGGGGCATCTTTTAACAATACTTTGGTTGTTTTATTGTTAGTATTTATTTTACTGATGTTTTATTCTTTTTATTCTTCCTCACTTCTGTATGAGTTTAATTCTCTTTATTTTGCCTCCTGAAATGATTTAAAACAAAAAAATATCATTATAATTATTATTATTATCCCACAGTTGGTTCAGATCTGTTTATTATTAGCTTCCGAATTTGCTTTTTGCTAACTTGAACAGGATAAAATCATTTAATCGTTTGGCTTTTCTTAGATTTTCTAAATGTTATCGGACCAAATGGATCAGAATCTGATATTAAAGGAGTCACTGTTGTTCTCACAGGGTTCATATTTGGTCCATTACCAGAAACAGTTAATATTAGATCGTCTCCGTGGCTTTTAGTCACTTTCTCTGACGCCATTTTCTTGGTGTTTTGATGTGCATCGGGTCCTGTTTGGCTCAGCTGTGTGCAGGAAGGTCCTCTGTGAGCCTCCAGCAGCTGTCTGAAAACACTCAGGTGTTACATAACTGGTTCATTTTTATCAAGGCTGACGGCGAGAGAAATGTCTCAACGCCGTCTGATCGAACATATGTTTATCTGAGAAGGTTTGTGGCAGCTCGAGCCTCGAGGTCTTAGTCTTTTGGTACCGTACGCTTTAGGTACTGCGATTAGTGTTCGGGTCATCAGGCTCCCTGCGGATCCTCTCAGCTGAAATCAGCCTTCACATCTGTGTTTGTTGGCATATTATAATTACTGTTGACACGTGATTGACAGGTAATGGACATCAGACTATTATATAACCCCCACAGAGTCTGTAAAATGGTCTTCTGCTGTCTGACTTACCGCCCACACTCTCAACAAACTGATAACCACAGTGGATGTAAGTTAGAGGTGAAAGTAAAAAGAGAAAGTCAAAGTATAAACAGAGAGAACAATACAGCTCTGTGAGGCACAGTCCTACTAAATGCTAACGTCAGCCTGCTAACGTCCTCTCAATGACAACATGCTGATGTTTAGTGGTATGTATTATTTAAACCAGTGCTCACCGTCATATTTTACTGTGTTTGCATGCTAACATTTGCTAATTAGTTCTGCACTGTACTGGCGCTACAGGAAAAGTTCAGGAGATCGTTTAAAGTCATTACAGTTAATCCTGAGGGAGGTTAAATAGTGAGAACCGCACACATACGAGTCCCCAGGAAGAATTTAACATAGTGGCCAAACTGTGTAATTACAACTATCTGTGTCCGTTGTGATGCACAGTCCCTAAAATACTTCTTCCCATAAGGTTCTCCGTTCAATTTAGTGGACAATAAAAGAGATCGCTTGGGGAAAAAGCAAGAAAGGAGGTTGAACTATCTGATAAGAGCTGAAGATATGTGTCTGTTACTGGATTCCAGCTGTCGGTGGAACTTTACTATGTTAGCATCTGATCAACCAAACTCCATTCAGAAAACAAGCATTTTAAAAGTTGCTTGCTTGTCCAGCATCCTTTTGATCCGTTTAATGCAATTAAATCTGTTTATTTTGGGCCCAAACTGCCGATTTCAACCAGATTAGAGCACAAATTCTCGCCTCATGTTACTGAAAATGATCCCACGAGTAACAAAGAGAAACTTTGCTTCACATTTGGTCGTAACTTTTTACAGTTTTCTTAAAATAAAAGTTACTGTATTTATATCTTAATATATATTTTATATATTATATTTGATCTCTTTTGAGGTTTATATGCTCTCTTTGCACCTTGTAACTCTGGTTTTGAGAAGTTTATTATTATATTTATGATGCGGATATTGACACATTTCATCAGGTGATACTCGTAGAAATCATCTACACCAAACTCTTACTTAACATTTACTGTAGACATTATTGTAATCTGTGGTCGTCGTGATCAGAGAACGGCAAACGAGGTCTCACCTGTGGCCTCCACCATCCCCTCCAGGATCACCACAATCTCCAGATCCTCCTTGGCCAGGTGGGCTTGCGAGATCTCCCAGAAGGGGCTGCTCTGATTAATCTCGTGGCAGATGATGAGCGGCGACACCAGGAAGAGCCGGTCGTCTCCCGTGTTGTAACCCACATTAATGTCCGTCTGGTTCAAAGGGATGAACTCCCCTTCCTTGGTCTGCTTAGACTTGATGAGCTTGGCCCTGATCGACGCCTCCACGATGTGCGAGTTTCTGAGGTCTCCGACTCTGAACATCAGGCACAGCCGCCCGTCTCTCATGGAGATGACCGCGTTGGTGGAAAACACTAGTGTCTCAGCTCGCTTCTTAGGCTGCGAGATCTTAACGAACATGCAACCCACCATGAAGGCGTTCACGATGGATCCCAGCACTGACTGAATTAGAAGCAGAAGTATCCCCTCGGGGCATTTGTCCGTGATGACTCGGTATCCGTAACCGATGGTTGTCTCGGTCTCGATGGAGAACAGAAAGGCTGATACGAACCCGTTGAGGTTATTGACGCACGGAGTCCACTGATTGTCCGCTATGTGGTCCAGATCGCCGCGAAGGTACGCGATAAGCCACCACATGAAGCCGAAGAAGAGCCACGTCACCGTGTACACCAGCACGAAGATGAAGAGGTTGAACCTCCACTTCAGATCCACCAGCGTGGTGAAAATGTCCGTCAGGTAGCGGTACCTCTCCCGAACGTTCCCGTGATGGACGTTGCACTTCCCATCTTTCTGGACGTACCGCTGGATCTTCTTCTTTCGGTCCACTTTCGCCAGCTGTTTCGGCAGGTCCTCGCGGGCCTGCTTCGGCAGCTTGGGCGGTCTGATGATGGCCGGGCTCTCCACATCCTGCTCCATGGGGTTCGTAGGTGGATTCAAGCCTGTCAGAAACAGAAGAAACATGGTGGTCATGAGTTGGGATTAGCAAGTTGTTTCTGCTTTTATTCAGAGTAAGAATGATGGAGACATTCTGAGGTACTTTTACTGTCATTTTAGGTTACTGTACTGCCCCCTACAGGTTAACTGCAGTAACTACAATAACAGAAATATGTTTTGTGACTGTCGAGCCAAATGTGTTTTATGTAGAACAGCAGTTATGTGCTTATTAAATATGTCTTCTCTTCTATTCTTATTATTTTGTGAAGTTCAACCTATGAAACATTTATTTTAATTAGCACAGCATATTGTCCTGTCTAGCGATCGTTAGCGCAGTAATATCTGAACTATCATTACTATTTACTACATTGTGCTCAGCTAATAACACACAGATGAAGTCAATCAGAGTTCCCAGAGGAGAACATGAAGATTCCCTTTGTTTTAATTAACTTCATTGTCCAGAAATTGTCTAGAAAACAGGATTTACAGACACTGAAAAGATCAAAAACATCTCATTCGTCTCATTCATTGTATGATTATACACTGATGAAAACATACCTATGAATATTATATTTCTAACAATAGATCCTCCTGAATGTGACTGACTGGGACCTTTACAATGTGTGATCACAAGAACGACCTCATTTACACCTGATGTTAAAAATGGACACACATCCTGTTTTACTACCAGGTGTAAATGTGGTGTTGCTATGCAGAATGTTTATTTTATATTTGAGGGGAGAAATACGCCGTTTTCAGTCTGGACGGAGGCTGAAACAGAGAATATCGATGCGTTTCACAAATGTAACCGACTTAATGTGAACGTACTCTCAGATTGAGTGGCAGATAATATCATAAACAATAGACCTCCTACTCTGCCATTGTCTCCAACTCCACCACCACATGAGCTGAGACCAGTATGCAGATTTCACCAGTAGCACTTAAATAGTATCAGCACGAAACCGCTCGGCTACGGTAACGCCGAGAAAAACATGTCACCGCCCCCACACTGCCAGTAGAAAGCTGCACGTTGTCACAGTATCTCCCGCAGTAAAGAGTGTGTGTAACCCTGAATTAAGGTTGTAAAACGCCTTCATAGGCGTGCGGAGCTCCTCAGCACCGACAGGGGAAATCTTTACTGTGAAGAAAAAGATAATTATCCACTACAGATACGGGCTGTGACCCAAACTGTGTCCGGTCCTATATTTAACTTTCGTGTTGTGCTGACAGTCACCTCGTGAGCTGCAGCCGTCTGCTCTAACTCACTCTAACGAGCACTTCTTAAAAATAGGTTTTTAGTAAAAAGGTCAAAGTCACATAGTGCAACTAAACGTCTGGTGCGCCTCCACCTGTGCAGCTACATCGGTGGATTTAGGATTTATTTCCACCAAACCAGAGTTGGTTGTTGTTGGAAACACTAACAGAGACAGTTTTATAGAGTTTTATTCTGTTTCTGTCAGATGAAGTTACAATGATCTGAAGGTAAAATGAGTGTTTGTGTCTCTGGAGTCTGGTGGAGAGTGATAGTGATATTACGGCTGTTTGTGGTTAAACTAAAGGTCTATCTCTGTAGGGATCATTTCTATAATGCTGTCAGACACTGACAATAACAACCTGAGTCTGTCTGTGGAACAAACAACAACTACTGTCAGTGGAACAAACAACAACAACTGTTAGTGGACGTACTTTGACGATTAACTAACATTACTTTGCAGCCACTGCAGCCTTTTTTCATGAATATTTTCACATTAATTTTGGTGAATTAAGGGTTTATTTCAACCAAGCCAGAGTTGGTGATTGTTGGAGAAAATAATAAAGACAGTTTGTGAGTTTTATTTAGTTTCTGTCCACTTTGAATAAAGGTCCAATGTTACGACGATCTGTGAGATAAAATTACCATTTTTGTCTCTTGAATCTGGTGGTGAGTGAATTTTATATATGTAACCTATAAGCCACCATCAGTGTATGTGTGTGTGTGTGTGGGGGGGGGTTCTTTCTTTCTACCACTGGAACAAATGGCTGTGTTGAAGCTGTTCTGCTCTCCATTCACAGGGGAATATTATGAGCTTGAGCAGCGCCGGTTTCCATGGCAACGCACCGCTCAGTCCAACCACCAAGTGCTCACAATATTTAGCAGGAAGCTGCTGCTGGGATGCACGGCGTTTTCGGGGGATTGGCGTTGGTCCGTTTCATCCCGTTGTTTCCGGGCGCCTGAGGAAGAACAATGTGCTGAATGTGCAGAAAGGTGTCATTCATGTAACAGCTGGTAGTTGTTCTTTTGTCTAATAGACGAGGGTCTGTGAATAGAGACGAGCTTGTTAGGAGCAGCGTTTCTCGAATGGGGGTATGTTGGACCCCTAGGGGTACAGGGGCTACGTGAGATCAGTCATGCATAATTCGTAAAATAATTACACTGTAAATTAAATAAAAATGTAAATGCCAGTTCGATAAACAACATTTAGATTCAATATTCCTGTTTTTATTGTCGTAAAAGTCGTCGTCTCCATTTTAAATCAGCTGCAGTTTCCTTCCTGCAACCCACAAAATAAATATGAAGCTCAACTTATCAAAAAGACGCAGTTCAACACAACTTCAACGCCGTCGCACCGCAGAGAAAAAAATGGTTTCAGTCAATATAATCGACAGTTTTAATTAATGTTAATGTTGTAGTTTGCTCTCACAGGATGTAGGGAAGGATTTTATTAAAGTGTAAGTGAACGCATCACCATTAAAAGAGACTTCAGGCGTTTGATATGAGACACTTTGTTTCACTGATGCTTACAGGAGTGCGTCTGTCTACGCTGAGAACTCAAAATAAAGTCTGTTGGGACGTTTGAACGCATCAGCAGACGCTCTGTCTCTCTATCATGATCTGTGCTGTGTTCAGGGACCTTGTTAACCAGGTATCTGGGGTCCAGATGAGGACAAAATCGAGCTGAGGCCACACGGGGGAACGCCGGTTATTTTTAGGCAAACAGCTGAGCAGAGGCAGTATGGAAGTCACGTAGGAACAAATTAAATCATAAAATATTTCTCTGTATTTGGTGACTGGATGAACTCGACTCGTAAAGAGCTGATTGTTGAAGATACAGCGAATTAGTGTATCGCTAGAGTTAGCATGTCTCTCAAACTCAGTGCGTTTTCTTTCACATTAAAAGCCTTTCAGGAAAAGAGAGAATTCCTGGTTAGCATCCTCCCCTAGAGGCTTTTATTGTGAAACATCCGTTCAGGAAGTGTTGAGTTTGCCTTCGCAGCAACAGGCAGACATTTTACTAAAATATTATATTTATATGCTGTTATATTCGCAGTAGAATCACCGGTTTATCACTTTATAATAAATGTCTGCAGTTTATGTGTCAGGTCAGGTTAAAGTGGGTTACTGGGTTGTGGCCTCTTTAAATGTTACTGGTCTCAACTGGTTGAGCCAACATGTTTATTTTATGGTCAGTGGAAAATCTTCATGTTCCTCTGAAGAGCAAACGGTTGGTTTCAGGAACATCTGTTACCTGATATAATAAACATTAATGTTCTTACTATAAAGAGCTTTAACGTTTTGTTTTAAAGTTTTAAAGAATATTAAAGGTTCAAACAAAGAACAGGTTGTAATGTTACTTATAAAATGAGACCTTCCAGATTTCCTCTGTGAACTGATTTATTATTTATGTTTCTTTGTGCTGTTGGATGTTTGTTATGCTCCCGAGAGCCTAGGTTGGCGTTGGTTGCTTCGTGGCGTTGGTTGCTTCGTGGCGTTGGCTGATGGGGCTGATTTGTAAACAGCGAGTTATTAGCACTGAGGTAATGCAGACTGCAGTTCACTCACTGGCCACCGGTGTCACTGTTAACTAAAGTTGTATTAAAGTTACATTTAAAACCTTTAACTGGAAAAAATATGAACCAAAAAAAACCTGCAGTTATTACTTTTTTCCAGCCCAACGAAGATTCACACTCAGATTCTCTGGACGACGTTGGTGAGAAACTGAGGGACAAAAATAGGATTTCTAACAGAAATCTCTCCCAGTGGAAGTTTCACCCTCACAGCCGACACGCTGCCGTTTCTCTGGAAACTTCACACGCTCATTATTAACAGAGGGTTCAGTTTAAACCATAAAGCCTCCAGCTGGGTGCTGAATCATCACGTTACCAGATCCAGTTCACCACGGTGGCGGTAAAGACCTGCAGCTCTGTGGACGCTCGGGGAGAAAACCACCGACTGAAAACAGGAGGAAGCTTCAGAGTGTTTTATTAAAGATAGAACGATTGTAGTGAAACAACCAGTGAGCTTTTATTGCACCGGGACACACATTTATTATAAAGACAGCTAGTTAAGAATAATCTGCTTTAAATTAATAATGTTATTAATTTAGTGGTTTCATTAGAGATTACAGCCTACAGATTATCTCTATTGATTGGAGATTATATGGTTTTATTATAGTCGCAGTAGAGGAACTAAAAGCTGTCTTAAAAATCATTTTATTGATTTTTAATTTACACATTCAGCTCCCCTGGTCTAATAGTGAGATTATATAAATCAGTTTTTTTGTCTTCAGCTTCTTTTCTCTTTGTATGTAAAATAAACTTATTTTTAGTCACGGCTCGTGTTGTTCTCGCCTCCTTTATCACAACAGTGAGTCAGGTTGTGATACATTCGGGGCTCCTGTGCATCAGGTGAGTAAATGAAACATTCCTGCCTGTAACTCGTGTGCGATTACGTGGTGATGGACACCGGTATCGAGGAAGTCTTTGCTTTATCGTATGAAACAACTGTCTGTGAACATTCGCTCCCAGTTCGGTGACGTTCTGAAGATTATTTTAAGTTACGTGTGATAAAACAGAAGTTGTTCGTAATGGAGACGCTTCGGTTTTTACCATCTATTAAAAAATGACATTAAAGTTTTATTCTATCTCCAGTATCTCAAAAATTAAAGCATTTCTGGGGGATTTGTTCCTCTACTGTTAGTAATTAAACAATTTTATTCATCACAGAAAAACTAGCTCCTAATTATTATGAGCTGTTGGTGTTTTCTGATATTTGAATTAAACAAAATGAGAACCAGTTCTTCAGATTTTTTACCTTTGAGGTCGCAGAAGTTCGTCTCTCCGTAGGTAAATAATAAAAGTTGTGAACTAATTGTCTAAAAATAACTGCAGTCGACTGATTGGACCTCTACAACAGCGCTGCTGCTGAGCTTCAGTTAGCTAAATGCTAATAAAACAGCACTGAAACTCGTTATGGATTAAAAATGAGAAAAGAATCAGGATTACAGGATACGTATTAAAGCTTTATATCTTTATCTTTATATCAGCACACGAACCAGTGACGACTCGTCCTCATATATTTTATTATCTGATGTTTTTGTTCATTCTTGGCTGTCGGCTCGTGTTCGTGTTGTTTGCTGTACCGAGTCTCTACAAGTTCTTTCTCTTGTCTCGGACTTTACCGTTGGTCTCGACCGAGTGCAGCGATATGTTTATGTCAACTTAGATAAAAAAACCATTGATTAAACGCACTCAGGAAACAGGTGTTGGTTTTAATTCGTAATCGATTTAGAAGAACTTTGAACTGTCAGTCATATATCAGGCTGCCACATTGTTTTTGATCCATGTTGGTCTCGACTGGTCCTGGTCCTGGTCCTGGTCTCGGACTCGTCTGTATTTTTACTCGCAGTCGGCCGCCGTTCCCGCCAAATATTCTAACATCCTCCTTCAAAATAAAACCCCTGATGAAGCGAGCTTTGTTCAGGAAGACGAGTTTAGTTTTAATTAAAAATCCATCTGACATCGGCTGCCTGGTAACCATGGTTACACCAAGGTCACTTACACACAGTATTTTTATATTTATATAAAGAGTCGAACATACAAATGTGTAACAGACACTGAGGTTAATGAACAATTGTAGGAAAAATTTGGTAAAAAGTATTTTTTTTAAATGTCACAATCATACACCTGGCTGCCTTTTGGGTCTGGACTCCGGGTCCTGGTCCTGGTCCTGGTCTCCACTACAGCAGCACTGCTTGCTGTCAGATTATCATTCTCAACGAGACCTAATTAAATAAAGTATAATGAATTAATTACATTAATTCATGTCACGACCTTTAACAGGTACGACAAGCTCTTATAA